TACATCTGCTATTTTTCAAGTACGAACTCACTATTATTGTAGTTTTCAATTCTCAATTTTATTGTAGATGGGCTTAACAATATATATATATATATATATATCTGGTCAAGTTTAACAGACAATTTTAATACACGTTGAATGTTACAACTCCTGCAAAAATTAAAGCACCGAATTTATACGACATCCCTCAACCTGCCGAAGTTTCAAGTTAAAACTTTCAAACTAGCAAAGCTATGATGGTCTATTTCAAACGAAGCTTTTCTGCTGCTGCTGCTTACAAGTAAGGCTTCGTTCTGGGCTTACACATTCAGTCATAAAACAACCACCTTACTCAGAATCCAGAGCACCAGAGAAAACTCAAAGGCAAACAGAGTATGGAGCAATCCTCGATCCAGTGCGAACCCAAACAGCGTTATCCCGCCGTTATTGTGCTGCAAATACGACACTGCATTCAATCCATCAAACACAACATGCATGTAATATAAGTCCTCATGACATGAAGCATCAACATCCTCAAGCTTTATGAACAAGCAGAGGAGAACACTCACCTAAAGCTTGTCTGGTTTGAAAGGCGGAAGAGGGTTGTTGAGCGGTTACTGATATGTATATGTCAGAGGAATCAGAATCACCCTCAATTCCCAATCCTTCTGGCGTCTGAGATTTCCATTGATGATCAGTTTCTGATTCTGCACATGACTTTGTGACTAGCATGTGCCATCTGGTCGCAACCGCCACTATCCCTTGAGCTCTGTGTGTGATCCTCGCAGCACCCAGTAGACACAAGAAGCACCCACATAATTGCACCCCCGAACATATCTGCATTTTCTCATTATTTCTTGATTACTTATCAACATAATCGACCAGTCATTGTGGCAGAGAGTGCTTGCTTATATAGTTACTTACCACGAGGTCACCAGAATTGAAGAAGGTCATGACGGATTTGGAAGCTAAAATCAGAAAGAGAGATCCCAACTGACTAACTGTGATAGTAACCAAACACACAATTATGAAGAACCTGTATCTATGGCTTGTGACAGAGAGCTGTTTTCTGATCTTGACATGTTCACAGAATATCACATTTGCATCAGACCCACAACCTTCGAATAACTTATGAACTCCTTCGAATCTTAGTATCTGAAGCTCGCAGGTTAGCCGAAACAGCACGCACACCAACAAGAACACCCCTGTTCTGTAAACCCACGAAACCAACACTAGCAAGAACACAATGGAATTCAGGGGAAACCCAGGGCTTATATGTGGGACAGACACTTTCACTGTAGAGAAAAATATGATCTTGTGGGCAAGCTCTACGAAGAAGGACGGTAAGATTATGGCGGCCAAGTATCTGAAGGCCTTCTCCAGCTCTCGTGTGTACCCTCGTCGAACGTACGTAGAGTCGTCCTGCAAAATGTCTAAGAACAGAAGCTGCCTGAGCCCATACCTGTGGAAGAATCGGGAAAGAGTGAAGAAGGACATAATGGCGAGGCAGGATTCTGGTAACTGAACAAGCTTGTTGAAAGAGAGTGGGTCGTCCTCGGTGGCGGATGCAGGGACTTGAACGAAGAGGGAGGTGAGGATAGGGACGACGATGGCGAGAAGCACGAACAGGACGTAGGAGATGATCTTGCCGACGCTGGAAGAATGATCAAGAGCACACCATTTGAGGCTTATCCGAAAGTTTCGGAGTTCGTCAAAGATGATAGACTTGGACCTCGCATAAGATGGCTGCAAAAGCAGAGGAACATTATTCGGCTGGCATTGATCGGCAAAGGACACGCGCCTGCCGGAGCAATCCACGTCGGTGGCGGTGCTGACGGTGGAGTCCATATAGTGTGGTCTATGGCAATGGAAGGGAAAGAGAGTGAGAGACAGAGGATTTGGAAGTTCTCTGTTGATTTATACAAATGTGAGTGGAGCAAAATGGGGATAAAAGAAGAGTGAGGAAGGTGAAACCCAAAGAAAAAAAAAAGTAGAAACCTTGCTTTGTCTCGTGAGAGTTGTGTTTGCCTCGAAGGGGAGGTTTTCATGAAAGCCAAGAATAAAGCTGAGTTGTCAAATTTGCTTATGTGTTTGGCGTTGCCTTTCTCACTTGCACGTCCCTCTCATATTCTTTTCTCCGCTGCTTATTGGACCATATGTATGTGCTTTGAAGTATAACTATTCCCTTTGCTGTTAAAATATATTTTTTATCATTTATTTTTATATAAACTTTCGTCTTAATTTTTTAACTTTATAAAGTTTTTTTTAATCTTTTAACCCTATTTTAAATGATTATTTTTATATTAATTATTATTACTTTTTAAAAATTAAACTTAATATGTATACATTAAAAAATATTTTTGTTAATATTTAAAAGCTTATTTTAAAAAATTTTGTAACAAAACTAACGATATTAAAATTAAATAATTGAAAAAATATTTTATAAAAATAAGGGATTAAAATGAGACTTTATATAAAATAAAAAAATTAAAAGCATGCTTTACCCTCTACATATTAATTAGAGTAAAATAGACAGAAATTTATTTAGTGTAATTTAAAAATTGAATTTATTCATGGACCCTGCAAGGTGTGACAGAGGAAAGGTCCAAGTGTGTGACATGTATGGTGTCGTATCAAATAGTTTACCTTTTCCATACAAATATACACACACACAATTGAGATGCACGTGAATAGAAGAAAGAAGTTGGCCAAAAAAAAAAAACAGAGAGAGAAGGATAGAGAGAGAAAATGGAAGAAGCAAAAAGTTTGTTGCTTAATGTTTATATATATATATATATATATATTAATGTTGATAATTCTTGCTGCACCAGAATATTAAAATCAAGAATTGTGATGAATGTGAAAGGGCTGTGCATTGGAAGAAGAGATGTGATTATGGCCACAAAATTTTCTAGCCAATTCGAAAATCAATGATGCTGTGTAGTGAATTTAATAACTCCAGGCAATTGTTTAAAAACAAATATTAAAAGGATTGAATTGGGTACATGATTTCTAACTTTTATTTATAAATCTCGTACAACCTATCGAGCAAACAATTAGAATTTGCAAGAAAAATAAAGTACGCGTCACTGATTGATTTCATAGCAAATTATTCCATCAATATGTATGTTCAACAACAGCCACCAAACGCCACAAACCTAAAAAATCAAAGAAGATCAAAGGGCTGATTATCGTACGTACCTGATGAACTAAGACTACGCAGGGATGGTGATCGACTCAATTGACTACAGCAAATTAGGTATACATACGTAATCTTTTTATTTTATTAAAACAAGGGTAACTTTGAAATATCCAACATTCGATAAGGATATATTAATCACAAAATTTAGCTAGCCTTCAAAAAATTTTAATTTAAAAGGGAGCTAAATAAAAAAGGGGAGGGGAGAGAGGAGGCAAAATTTGCCTCTTCTCCCCTCCAATTTTTTCAACCAAACAATATATTCCTTTCCCCTCTAAAAATCTTTAACCAAACAAAGCTCAAGTGGGTCACGAGCGGTGATCCATCTACCGTTACGACCGCTGCATTCTTCCACGTAACCAACCAAATTACGGGATCCATCGCTCCCAAGTGCCAACTGGATCAACTTTTTTTATATATTATTTATTAATAAGCATTATTATTATTATCATTATTATTATTTTTTGGCCCCACGAGTATTCTCGTGCATGAGAGATTGATTCGCAATCCTGTTCGGTTCACCTAACCCAGTCAATGACATGCTCTTTAAAAAAGCCAAGCCTGCCAAGCCCTCCAACTCATGTCCTGTCAAGTCAAATCAATACCCAAATTTAACGGGCTTAATATACTAGCCCAGCCCGGTCGATTGTGAATTTGTGATACAATCCGTTCGGATGACTTTTCCATGTTGACTTTCCCAACACTAGTCACTGAAGGATATAAATAAATCATACAAAAAATAATGTTGGAATAAATTATATAAAAGAAACTTTAATCTACTTTTGATTTCTTTATTTATTTTAAAAAAACTTCCATTCAATGTTATTCTTTATTATAAAGAAGTTTTCTTATAAAATATATATACTCTAAAAACTAGAAAAATTCCCTTGCGATGCACAAGATTAAAGAAAATTTTATTTTTTATTTTTTTTGTCTCTAAAAATTATTGAATTTGCATCCGGTGCTTGTTAGTCAATGAGTTGAAAAAAAATTAAAGAGAAAATATGATAATAAAGGTAATATTTAAAAAATATAATTAATAAAACTTTATTTTTATTAAAATGTCTTATATTTTAATATAACAAATCTCCCCCAAGATGTCTCATATAATGGGATTGGAGTCAGTATTTCATGATCTGCATGGAGAATTATATTATTATGAGGATTTATGTGTTATAGTTATAAAAAATATAACAAATATTAGATAATTCCTTCTACTGTAGAAATAACAGTGCTTTACTGTACATAGAAGTGGAACCGTAAATTCAACAGAATTTACAAAATGTAAGATTACATAATAATATATAATTTCAATAAAAGTTTGTATAATTTACTCAGCCAAAACTTATAATTTTATATAATATTATAAGTTTGCATAATAAAAGTTTGCACAATAGAGCCAATGTTCATCGCATGCTCAGCAAACAGAATATTAACAAGCATGCCAAACAAACGAAAATGATAAATATATATTGTCCATATTGGAGCCTTGAAGAGAGACGGCCAATCGTCAATGCAAAAAGAAGACGTATAATCTTCTTCATAAACAAGAAAAACAACCCCAAACCAGCACACAACCTCGCTAAACATGTATTAAACTAATTACTCTCCTTAGCAAACTAGACCAAGCCTTCCATACTTGGCCGGCATAAAACAGCTCATATAATTCTTTCCGGGAACGACCTTTTCAATGTCACCCCTTTAAACTATTAGATATCATTTCGTGAAGAATCCCCAGGCATGCTTATTCTCCTCCCTTCATGTGACCCAAAACTTGTCTCGATCAGCTTTCACGGTGCTCTCCCTTTTCTATCCTCCATGTATGGCTTACCACAAAGCCTATCGTGGGCTTCTCATCATGCTCTTGGCCTTCGTCGTAGCCGTTGGCTTTCTGCAGCCATCTCTAGGTGATGACGCTCAGGTTCTGATCAAGTTCAAGAGCTTCTTGTCCAATGCTGGTGCCTTGAACAACTGGAACGACTCTATCAGTATCTGTGACTGGAACGGTGTGAGATGTCGCAAAGGCGGGATTCACTTGAAACTGGAGAAGATGGGACTGAGTGGCACTATAGATATTGATACCTTGTTGGAATTGTCCAATTTGCAGAGTGTTAGTGTCAAGGACAACAATTTTGAAGGTAAAATGCCTAGCTTTAACAGGATTGGGAGGTTGAAGGGGCTGTATTTGTCCCATAACAAGTTCTCTGGAGACATACCTGATAATGCTTTTGAGGGTATGAAATACCTGAGCAAGGTATACTTGGACGAAAATGAGTTTACAGGTCACATTCCTAGTTCTCTTGCTGAATTGCCCAACCTTTTGGATCTGGACTTACATTCGAATCGTTTCGAGGGCAACATACCAGAGTTTCGAACGAAAAATAAGCTCAGATTATTTAATTTATCGAACAACCTGCTAGAAGGTGAAATACCAGGAAGCGCAAACGTTGGCGATCCCAGTGCATATGAGGGTAATATGCTCACAATCATCTCTGCATGTTCAAATATTTTATGCTATTTACATTTCATTAACTTTTTTTCTCCAATGTTGTTTATAGAGAGGCTAGGGTCCAAGTTGACGTTTAACTTTGTTTTGATTCTCACTGCTTTGACAAATTCAACCTTTTTTGCCTCTCTTGTTTTTGCCAATGGAGATGATAACATCTTTAGCCTAAGATAGTTTTTAGGTCGAGATGTTCAAATTACACAATATTTTTTCTATTTTAACGAAATATTTAAACTTAAAACTTAAGGTAACTTTGAGAATTAAATAATTTTTTCAAAAAATATAGCTAAAAAATCAATGTTATTTACTGCTGAGTGAAGTTAATTAGTTTTAAAATTTCATATATGGAAATCTTTATGTTTATTGATATATATATATATATATATATAAGTTTAACATTTATGGTCATTTTTCTGTTGCTTCTTCAATCATATTGTTCCTGTCAATCGCTTGAACTTGATTGTATTGATGTCCCAGCGCACCAATATTTTATAACGTGTAGATCAAAATATAGGAAAGAATTTGACTTTTTCCAGCTAGTCGGAAGATTTTGTAAGATACTACTGTATTTGTAGGACATAGAGATATATAAAACAAATGATTTTTTATTCTGTATACGTGAATCGTTTAACATAATCAACTTTAATGACTCGAAGGCTCTATTGACTTAATTCAGTCATATATATAGAGTAAGCTGAAGCTGCGTGCACGTCTATACGCCTCACGCACCAGCATCTCTGAAGATGAGGCTAACAGTAAATGATCATGAACAATAATACAAATCAATACTCTCTCCGTTAAAAAATATAAAATATTTTTAATCAAATCTCATGCTTCAATAAAGTAATTATTTATTTTTAAACTAAGTCTATCTTTTTATATATATCCTTATTAAACACCCTATAATAAATATAAAGTTATTATCAATAGAGATACTTTTTTTTAAAAGCAATGATTGCACTTTAAAAAATTAAAAATATCTTACATTTTTAAATATCTAACCTCTTAAAAAATACTTTATATTTTTAAATAGAAGGAGTATTGTTCAAGCTTAAAAATTGTGTTTTACACACACATACACACGTATATAAACACTATATATAATAGACACCTCCCCCGGTTCATGTCTGTTAATTTCTGGTGCAACAGGCAACAAAGGTCTATGTGGAAAACCTTTGAATAACCCCTGCAAAAAGTCTTCCAGGAAACGAGACCTTCTTATAACTGCCATTGTAGTGGTGGCCGTGATTTTCTTGGCTTCAATTCTAGCAGCTACATTTGTTGTTCATCGCCGGAGGCGAAGACGTTCTCAGATGACGAAAACTACGGTTCAGCAAGTGCAACATCAAAACAGTGCACCCTTGGTAATCAAGAAGGAGGAGGCTCCATCACTTGATCTGACAGCTGAATTCAAGACGGGTGAGAATGGAGATCTGAACTTCGTTAAGAGAGACGCGGAGAGATTTGATCTGCAAGACCTTCTTAGAGCCTCGGCTGAAGTTCTGGGTAGTGGTAGCTTTGGGTCTACGTATAAGGCTATTGTTTTGAACGGACCAGCCGTCGTCGTGAAGAGATTCAAGCACATGAACAATCTTGGGAAAGAAGAGTTCTCTGAGCATATGAGAAGGCTCGGAAGTTTGAGCCACCCTAATCTTCTTCCTCTTGTTGCATTCCACTTCAGAAAAGAAGAGAAGCTTCTGGTTTATGAGTTCGTTGAAAATGGCAGCTTGGCCAGTCATCTCCATGGTATATATGTGATCCCTCATCTGCACATGCTTACATAATCCCACACAAAATTTCAGCCACAAACCAAAAGCTGGCAGATAAACTCAAAATAAATACTTACACATGCATGCATATATAGTTATAATTTTGAAATGCTATTTACACTTTAATTTACAGGTAGGCATGGTTCTGGACTAGACTGGCCGACCCGATTGAAAATCACAAAAGGAGTGGCGAGAGGATTAGCTTACCTCTACAGAGAATTCCCGGATCAAAAACTGTCTCACGGACATCTCAAATCCTCGAATGTTCTGCTAGACCAGTCAATGGAGCCTCGTTTGACCGAGTACGGACTCGTCCCAGTGATGAACAAGAGCCACGCTCAACAGTTCATGGCGGCATACAAGGCCCCAGAGGTAAATCAATTGGACCGACCCAACCAGAAGACCGACGTGTGGTGTTTAGGAATTCTCATTCTGGAACTCCTGACAGGAAAATTCCCGGCAAATTACCTGCGACATGGGAAAGGAGGAAGCTCGGACTTGGCCACGTGGGTGAACTCGGTGGTGAGAGAGGAGTGGACAGGGGAAGTGTTCGATAAGGACATTCTGGGGACGAGGAATGGTGAGGGAGAGATGCTGAAGCTGTTGAAGATAGGAATGTATTGCTGCGAATGGGACGTGGAGAATCGGTGGGACTGGAAGGAGACGGTGGCCAAGATTGAGGAATTGAAAGAGAAGGATAGTGAAGATGATTTCTCTTCGTTTAATAACAGTGAAGCGGATTTCTCCTCCAGGCCTATGACCGACGAGGATTTGTCGTTCACAGCACCCAATTAGTTCATCGGAGGATCGGAATGCAATGAAATCAAAGTTGGAGCTCTTTTCAGTTGGATTTCAGTACATTTCTGTTGTTATGTTCTGATTCTTCCCTCGTTATTTACTTTATCTTCTGTTTTGGTATCATGATTTGATGAAACGTGCTCTTTGGCTTGGTCAGAATGGCTTTACACTCACACTCACGTGGGTCTTCGTCTAGAATCCCTGGTGTGGCAAATGGCCAGGGGCAAGAAAGGACCATCAATAATGGATTCTTGTATAAGTAATAATAATAAAAAATACATCATATTCTTGTACGACCGGTTTTATTAGAACCGAAGTCGTTGCATTTCTGTTAAGTATGAGAGATCAGAGATCAGATCACAGCTTTCGATTTTGAGGCACTTATTTTCTTAAGAAAGGCCCTCTTCTTACCTTTGAACTATACTATATGTATTGTAACTATGCTCTTCGTTTTTTATTTAACTCTGCATGTCATTTTTATCATTTAGATTATTTAAAGGGTGCATGATATGATAGTAATTTATTTACAATGTATTGAAAGAGGCAGTTACACTATTCCTATGAAGAATAATCTGGATGGGTAAGAGAATGTATCGGTTCAAATATTACTTTTCATTGTTTACTTTATGGAACAAAGTTCGCATCCGAGAAGAGGATGCTGTCAACATTAGATATTTAACTATCATTTAAGTCTACCTTTCTAGGGCATGGCATGGCATGGGGAATAAATATTAAGAAAATGGTAGCAAGTTTTTATTGAAAAGTTTGATAATAAATATAGAATATAATAATGACATCCCTTTCACGCAAATATATTACCTAATCTGTCTTTACCAAACAAAGTCACTCCAGTATATTTTTTATTTGAAAAGAAAGGTGCCATTGCATCAAAAAAATATTATAAAAAATATGCTCAATTAATCATATTACAAGCTTTAAAACATGTTGGTCCCACTTTTTTTTGGTCTGAAATTACATCCACAATTTGTATATTAGTTTTAACAAATAATAAGTATGATTAGTCCATTATATTTCAAAATTTTATGGAAATGTAAGGAAATTAATTATACAAATTTAGATTAAGTGTGTGCACCGAGTGTTAATATCTGTGTAGATAATGCTCTCGTGCGTAATAAAGGCTAGTTATTATATAAATTAAAAATGAAAATGCAATTTGTTTCTAATGAAATTAATGGATTATCTAGGTGTTTTATAGTTTGAATTCAATTGCGTAAACATAATATTTTGTTAGTTAAACATAACTTTTGATTCTTATACTTTACTCACATTTTACTTTTGATATCTATACTTTTTTTCAGATGTTTTAGGTTTTTATATTTTTATTTTTTTTATTATTTTTAATCTTTCCAAAGTCCTTATACTTTATTCATAGAGGGATCGAAAATAAAAGTATAGAGACCTAAAATATTTAAAAAAATTATAGAGGTCAAAAGCAAAACATAAGTAAGGTACAGGGATCAAAAATTATATGTACCTATATATTTTTTTTAAATCACATTCTAGGTGATATGCAAACCCACAACATTTTTACTGTGATAACAAATTATATTATTGTATTACAATTATTTTAATTTTATTTACAGGTCACTTGTTATATGTTTTACTGAAATTTAAAAAAAAACTTTAAAATTTATTAATTTCATATGAAAATTTAACAAGTTGTTAATTTTGTTTCAATTTAATATACATATTTAATAACATATTTTTTATGACAACAATATTCTTTTACTCACTGACATGTAACAGAATAAATAAAATTACTATAAAATTTAATAACATCATTTGCAAACAGGCCAAATTATAAACAGGAACGTAGGAATATTCTATGATCATTGTAATGGAATAGTAAATGTCATGTGACGTGTGAGTTGGGTTGATGAAAGACTGAAACATGAAACTTGACAAAATATCCTAGATTTTTTGGCTTCAGAGGGTTGCGTACAATCCGAGTTGGAGGCTTATCCACAAGATTTGGTTTGGTTTTGGCCCACTGGGTTGAAACTTGACAAAAACCAGGACGCCAACAGGATTTAGACAATCATGATTAACAAGAATCACCACTCGCCACCCTTTTAAAGCTCAGCCGTGTCCGTCGTCACCATTCATCAATCACTCAACCATCGAAGCGAAGAAATGTCGGTAAAGGAACGGCGAATTCTGGTGGCGGTGGACGAAGGAGAGGAGAGCATGCACGCTCTCTCATGGTGCCTCAACAATCTGGTCCACCCAAACTCCGACGACACCCTCATTCTCCTCTACTCCAAGCCCCCTCGTCCTGTTTACGCCGCCTTAGATGGCCCCGGTGGTTCGTACTAATCCCATCGCAATTATACCTCTCCTTCTTCTTTCTTTTAAGCTTTAGCCTTTGATAATTTTTGTCAGGATATCTGTTTGCTGCCGATGTATCTGCGGCCATTGAGAGGTACAGCGACCAAGTGGCGGAGAGTGTCATGGAGAAGGCCAAGAAATTGTGTGCAAGTCTGCAGCAGCAGGTAGGCTCCGGCCATTATTCTTTCCTCTGGTTTAATTTCTTGATTGACTTGTGATTGAGGTGGGAATGGCAATTAGTAATGGAGAATGGATGAAGCAGGTGAAGGTGGAGACGAAGGTGGAGAATGGGGACCCGAGGGACGTGATCTGTGAGGCGGCGGAGAAGTTGGGTGTGGACGTGCTGGTGATGGGAAGCCATGGCTATGGCGTCATAAAGAGGGCTTTCCTTGGGAGTGTCAGCAACCATTGCGCTCAGAAAGCCAAGTGCCCTGTTCTCATAGTCAAGAAGCCTAAATCATAATTTGCTTCCTTCTTCTTTTCAATGCCTTGGCTTGTAAATATCTGATATCTCGTGTTGTGCTTGTATCTTTTGTTCTTCTTCCAATCTAGCTTCATTTCCAAATCTCAGTATATCATCATAAATTGCATGCATACCACTAGTAGTAGCTCAGTGGGAGCTGGGCTGATTAGAACAGCTTTTTTCCCCCTTACTATTTATAAGTGAAGTTGTTAATTAATGCCAAATCTTGTATTTTCTAGGGAAAGAAAATTGTCCATGTTGTTAGTAGGGTATACCTTATTTATGCCATAATATATTAGCAGTTAGAAAATCTTTAACAACTCGTAATGTTTACATAAAAATTAAAGAGTGAACAAATCAACAAATCGGTTTTGAATTTTTTTATATATAATATAATATAATATAATAGAAAAGACGTCGAAAATGAGAAGAAAGGGGAGCATTCAATTGTTTTCAAAACAAAACTGCTCGCTTTAAAATTAAGTAGTATTAATATTAATATTAATAAAATTAATAATTAATAGTAAATAGAAATAACTTGATAGTCGATGTACTCTTTGATTGTCGTCCCCCTTCGGAAATATCAAACGGCGGGTCCGATGTTTACTGCCATATCGCGCCCAGGCCCGCCGCTCAGTTTCGCTCATTATCGCTGCAGCCCGCTTCTTGTCTGCTGCCACTTCAATCGTATTCCAGCTTCCATGTAAAATTACCTCTGCGTTTATGGATTTCTGTTTCATTTTCTTTTTTCCTCTTCGTTGCTTTTGAGCAACCGAACCATCTTGGGAAGAATTTTAAATTCCAGTTATGTAGTTTTTACTTTACCAATCTCTCGTTGCCTTTCAACACTATTTCGGTTCCCTTCAGCGCGAAAACCTGGTATTTATATCAAGCACCTATAATAGTTATCTTTGTTGAAGTAGTTTTTTATTTCTATTTCGCCTCATGAGTAGTGTCGTTGGTTAGCAAATTGCTGCTGAATATGGCGGACCATTTGTTCAGAAAAGATATTTACGAGCCTATTCGGTGTGGATTTATCTGTTACAGAGGAAAGAAAGGGGAGTTTCAGAGTACTAAACTATATCATAACCAATTTGTGGTAGCTGCTAGGGCTGTGCGAAGCTTGCTTGCTCCATTGCTTGCTAAACCCGGCAGTTCAATGGGCTGGTGGGAAGGTGTTGAGGAACCTCGGGTTCTCATTGCCCCGGGTAAATCTATATTTATATCGTTGATTTCAAATGTGCGTCTGATTTTCTGTTGCCTGTAAACGGTAAAATCAAAATGTCAGTTCAGCCTGCCGTAGTGTATCTATCACTCATTGTTATTATCGAATGCATATGCATCATGTTGACAGCTTGACAAGACTACAGATTACTTTATTTGTAGGGGTCACAAGTTACGGCTGATTAAGTTGAAACATACTTGAGGCCAGGGTGGTCTTATATCGATCATCAAATGTAATATGATTAACGGGTTTTTTTGTTGCGATGGCAAATTTCTAAACCCATTGTGTTAATGCACGTAGGATCAGACGATTTTGAATGAAAGTTACATAATCTTGTAGTCTATGAATTCTGATGGTTGAAAACAATGACATGTCAACATGTACCATTGATTAGTGGCGGAGCCTGGATCAGGAGTCCGGGGGTGTAGGATAATTTAATTCAAAAATTACTATTTTTTTAAAAAATAATAATTAAACTAGGACTAAAATTGTAAAAGCATAAGTACGTATCATTTCTCTTTTTGAAAAATTATATTGAACCAATTGATGTGGTCTTCTATGTAAATATGTTCTTTGTATTTTATCTTGATCATTAAAACATTATATACCTAATAAGCTTTTGAATTCAAATATTTTTATTTAGTTTAGAGGGTGCAAAATATTAAGAGTAAGGGGTGCAAAATTATAAAATTTATATACTCTACTTGTAATTTTTCCCAAAGTGAGAGTGAAGACAATGTGGCTTTGCCACTGCCTTGGACAATGTGACAAGGATGTCTCCTATTTTAAAAGATACAAAAGTGGACTATTGTGTTGACAAGCAACCAATGTTCTTCCATAAAACACATGAATGCAAGAAAACAACTAGGGGCTCGAAACTAACATGTTAATCATATAATTTCTATTTTGTATGTCTTGGCATCCTAGGCAAGTTGTAGCTGCTGATTCTTTTTTTTTTTTTTTTGCCAGAAGTTATAGCTATTGATTAGTTGTTTTTATTTTGATTTTGCTTCATACAGCACCTTGTGATTAATGCCAAGTATAGTAAGTTTGGGGATTTTGTCCTTTCTCATATTACATTATAATTACAAAAGCCTTTTAACTTCCTCTTCCTCTAATATAACTGTAGATCCTGGTACAAGCGGAAATGGTTTAGGACGCTTGCTTTTGCTTCGTCATCCCAAGTCAGGTGCTTCCGTAAAAATCCAATATTCTTTGATGTCTCAATCATCTTGTTTACTTGTTAGCATAATGTTTTTGAGAGAATACATTGCAGAGTCTTTTATTCTCATTCAACAAAACTGATTAATACATATAGGGAGAGAGAGATTGATACAATCGCATACAATCCTCTCTCAATAAAATAAAATATTGACAAGATACTAACCTGAATCCTTAAAGATAAAGCTGACTAAGATAATAATATGGAAAAAACCCTGGGAGAAAAAAGGAATAATGGGCCCAAAGGGTAAAAGCCCAATTCCAACACTACCCCCAAGTTGGCGAATAAATATTGATCATTCCCAACTTGCTCACAAAATCTCAAACTTAGTTTTGACAAGAGGCTTCATCATCATATCAGCTACTTGTCTTCAGGATGAGATGTATGATTAGTCTATTGTTTTATTTTCTATCTTCTCTTTGATGAAGTGTTGGTCTATCTCAACATGCTTTGTGCGATCATGTTTGATAGGATTATTCTCAATCTGGAGTGCAGCCATACTGTCACACCACATCTTAATTGGAGCATTCATTGGTATCCTGAGTTCTTGTAATAACTGTACAATCCACATACCCTCCCAAATTCCATGAGACAAGCCTTTGTATTTTGATTCTGCAGAACTTGATACTGTTGATTGTTTCTTACTCCTCCAAGCTACGAGGTTGTCCCAGATAAAAGTGCAGTACCTAGTTATAGATTGTCTATCATTATTTGCACCTGCCCAATCATCATTTGTATAGATTTCCACATTTTTCTGTTCTTTTATGCCAGTTGTCATCTTGGTTGCATCTCTATATATCTCTATACCCTTATGATTATTCTTAGGAAAGAATAAACCTTTTTTGGGTGTCGTCTTGAGATATCTAAGAATCGGATACGCCGCTTCCATGTGTTTTTTCTGAGGATTACTTGCAAGTTGACTGAGAACTCCTACTGCAAAAGAGATATCCGGCCTTGTGTGGGAATAGTAAATTAACGTTCCCACCAACTTCTGGTACCTTTCTTTATTGACAGATTTTCCATCTGGTTTTACTTCAAATTTGCAATTAAGCTTCACTGGAGTGTCTGCCGCCCTAGCCTCTAGCATTTTAGTCTCCTTGAGCAAATCAAGCATATACTTTCATAGTTCTTTAGGAGTTCAAGCTATCTCCATCCCAAGGAAATATTTCATGCTTCCAAGGTCTTTCACCTCGAATTTAGTAGCCAATTTCCCTTTTAACTTTGAAATTTCTTCAAGATCATTACCTGTTAAGACTATATCATCCACATAAATAATCAACATAGTTATTTTTGGGCCACAATGTTTAACAAACAGAGGGTGATTTGCTTGATAATGTTATAATCACATCTGTTAATAGCATGTGTAAACTTCTCAAACCATGCCCGTGGGGATTGTTTTAGCCCATGTAAGGACTTTTGGAGCTTATGAACTTTATTTAGATTCTCAGGACCTTGCAAACCTTGAGGGACTTCCATGTATACTTCCTTCTCCAAGTCACCATTTAAGAAGGCATTTTTGACATCTAATTGATGCAAAGGCCAGTCTAAGTTCGCTGCAGGAGAAAGTAGCACATTTGTAGTATTAAACTTGGCAACAAGTGCAATTGTCTCTTGGTAATCAATACCACATGTTTGAGTGAACCCTCTAGCAACCAATCTCCCCTTATATCTGTTAACACTCCCATCTGCTCCCCAAAATAGACTTTCCAGGAGGTAAGTCAACAATCTCCCATGTTTGATTCTTACTTAAGGCCTTCAGCTCTAATTCAATAGCTGATCTTCATTTGGGATCAATTACATCCTCATCAAAAGTACTAGGAATGTCTTCACTATCAATACTTGCAACCAAATCCTTAAACTGAGACTCAAGCTTAGCATAGGAGGCATACTTGCCAACGGGATGTTGAGTACAGCTCCTTTTGCCTTTTCTTAGATCAACAGGCCATTGGAGTTCTTTAGGATTGGTTTCAGGTTGTGAGTCATGACTTTGCCTTGGAAAAATAATGGGATCTTCTCTTTCCACTTGCTGTCTGACTGATTCTCCCCTGTTTCATTCACATTCGGCTCTAGATTATGGTCTTAAATGGCCATGGGTGATGGTTCAGGGTCGTTTGATTGGGATTCAGGTCTGGTAGGGCAATTGGATATATTAGGGGAATATCCTGGTGCTGTAACAGGTTCAGATTCAGGTAATTCTGGTGCTGTCCAGGTGGTACAGGTTCAGGCTCAGGAATAGAAGCATCTAGCAGTGTTTGAGATCCAGTATTTGGGTTACTAACTCACTGATGTCTAGATGGGTTGTCACATATTAACCATTTACCATCACTCTCCCCCTGAATGGGTAATGTGGGATAGAACGGAAGAGTTTCTACAAACCTAACATCCAAAGTAATGTCAATTTTTCCAGTGGCTGGAGAGTAACATTTGTATCCCTCTTGTGTAGAAGATTACCACAAGAAAATGCATTTAATGGATTGAGAGGCCAACTTTTCACCCGAACAAGGGAAAACAAAAGCGGTACAGCCAAAGACACGCTTAGGAAGAGAGTTAATAAGGTGAGAACTAGGAAAAAGGCTAGAAACTTCTCAATAGGTGTCTATAATTTTAAGAATTTTGAGGGCATACGATTACTAAGATATGCAGCGGTGACAATAGCATCCCCTCAAAAAATATTTGGAGCATTATTTCCTCATAAAAGAGCCCTTGCCACCTCTAGAAGGTGTCCATTCTTCCTCTTAGTCACCTCATTTTGTTAGGGGGTGTTCGCACAAGATGTTTGATGGTGTATCCCTTTCTCAGTAAGGAAGCTTTTAAAGTTTGAGTTAAGATACTCTATCCCATTATCACTCTGAAGGACCTTGATTGAGGTTTAAAACTGATTTTGAACAAAAGCATGAAAATGTTGTAAAACAGAAAAAAACTTTAGATTTGTCTTTCATCAAGAACAGCCACGTTAAGCGGGTATGGTCATCTTTGAAAGTAACAAACTACCTAGCTTTTCAGTTAGTTGCAACCCTAGATGGACCCCAAACATCACTATTAATAAGAGCAAAAGTTTTGGAAGGCACATTCGGTGTTGAAAGATAAGAGGTGCGAGTTTGTTTAGCAAACGGGCAAATGTCACATTGAAAGTCAAACTTCATTTTATTCATAGAATTGAGAAACAAAAGTTTCATGTAATCAAAACTTGGATGATCTAACCTACAAAGCCATAACATAAAGTCTTCACAAGACATAGTAGACAAACAAGAACTTGAATCAGCCATGTAGCCTTTATTGGAGAAGTTGCTTTCAAGATAATACAGTCCATTATATTCGTTAGCATTGCCAATCATCTTCCACAAAGTCATGTCCTGAAAAAACACTCTTGAGTTGGCCAAAAATAACAAGGCAATTTAATTTGTGAGCTATATGCTTCATGGGCAGCAAGCTACATTGTATGTTAGGCACATATAAGTGTTTGTAAGGATTACATTGGGAGAAATAATGGCAATGCCTGATCCCATAATCTTAGCATGGGTATTATTTGCAACTTGAACACGAGTATGTTTAGAATAAGGGCGAAAATCAAAGAATAATTCTTGAAACTCAATAAGATGATCTGTAGCTCTGGAATCAATTACCCAAATGTTGTTTGTCCAAGCAATAACACTAAGAACAGAGATACGTTCAGTACTTGTTTGAGCTAAGGAAATACAAGGAGTTTTCTCACTTGGTCTTTCTTGAGAATACTTATCTAGAAGTCGTTGTAGGATGGTGAGCTCTTTATTATTCAATGTTTCACTGTCAGAGTTGCTTACCATGAAGCCCTTCTTATCACCTTTAGATTGTTGCTTTAGATGTGCTGGTTTCCTAAGAATTTCCCAACATGATTACCTGGTGTGACCATTTTTGTTGCAATGATCACATTTAAGATGCTTCTTGCCTTTTCGCTTACTACCTTGGTTTTCGTGTGCCACCTTAGCCAAAGCCTTTAGACTTGAGGAGAGAGGAATAGAAGGAGTAGAGGAAGAGTTTTGAACAAGTTCTTTATGACTTTCCTCATACCTGATCATATTAAAAGCATCTTCTAGGGATGGAATGGGCTTGATGCCCATAATTCATCCTCGAACATCTTCAAAAGTATCATGCAAACTAAGTAAGAACTCATAATAGCATTCGCGATCGACTACTTGGTGAAAATAGACCTCGTTTATATGGCAGGACCATTGGTGGACTTAATACAAATCCATTTGTTGCCAGCGTCGGACAAGAGCACTATAGTAGAGAGTAACGGTTCTCTCCCATTGCACAAGACTACAAAGCATCCTTTTTACTTGAAAAATAGTGGCTGTATTTTCTTTGACAGAGTAGGTGTGCCTGGCTGACTCCGAAATTTCCTAGGCAGAATTAGCAAGCAAATAGGTCTCATTGATCTCAGCTGTCATAAAGTGAACAAGCCAAGTCATCACCGTGTTGTTCTTGGCACACTGTGTTTTGTATCGAGAATCTCCAATTGCTGGTGGCTTGGGGTTTTAGGTGAGGTATTTTTTCTTATTTTTTCCATGAATAATCATGAGCATGTTTTTGGACCACTGTAAATAATTATTCCCATTTAGACAATGGGTTATAACAGCTTGAGAGGATGAATTAGATACAGAATTTCAACTGCAGACAGCATGGGAATGATTGCATCCACTGAATGTCCTCCCCTAGTCATGGTTGCTGTTGAAGGGCCTCCCCCCAGCACTGGTGATGACTGACGGACCTCATCACCGGCAGCAAAAACCCTAGGCTGACTGGAAATCACTGCTTTGTGCGACAAGGATGAGTTGCTCTAATACCATGAGAATATATTGCATAGTCGCATATTCTCATTCAACAAAACTGATCAGTACATTTAGGGAGAGAAAGATTGATACAATTGCATAAAATCATCTCTCAATAAAATAAAATAAATGACAAGATACTAATATGAATCCTTAAAGATAAAGCTGACTAAGATAATAATCTGGAAAAAAACCCTAGGAGAAAAAGGGATAATGGCCCCAAAGGGTAAAAGCCCTATTCCAACAGTGTTAGTTCTCGTGAACTGTGCATCTCAAGTACTTAACTCAATGTGTTGGTTAATTGCTTAATATTATTCTGTTAATATTGCTCTATCACTCAGCTAAAAATCCTTATTGAGGATGTGATATGTTGAAGCTTTTGAATGCTCTCCCCCCCTCTTTACCTCCTCCTATTTATTTATAATTCTAACTTGTTTTGACCTGTTTGAAGGAAATGCTACCCGCTATCTCTTTGTAAATGGGATACTTCAAGAGCTTCAATGGTTTAAAAAATCATATGGATCTTGGTTCTTGGGGGATTATCTATGTGAAGGTAGATGCTAGATTTCTTAGGTTACATAGTGTTAATCTAATGCTCCTTATTTTGGCACATACATATGTATTTAATTAATCATATGGCATGCAGTACACTTCTATTTATAATTCATCTCCTGTATGAGGAAATTTTTTAATAATTGTAAGAGTTTTCTTCCGATGTCCTTTTCTTGGATCGCGTGAGATTATTTCAATTTTCAACTACACTCGGTCTGGAGTCAGCCTATAAATCTCTCACTTATGATAGAGCTATTATGTGGCTTCATTAGATTCAATATGAATTCTTGGCAAACATTGCCAGCTTAATCATCATTATTTTCTCCTTCTACAGATGGTAGGTTGTATCTGTCCACTCCAGTGGATCCTGTTTTCATCATGTTGCCCATTTTTGAGGAAGCTAGAATGAAGGTAATTCCGTGTTTCTCATCGGCCAAATTTGTACAGGATGGCTTCCTTATTTTCAAATTGCTTCCCATATGAGTTAATTAGTGATCAACTACTTTTAATAAGGCCAAATAGAAGTTCCAGCTGCACATCTGGGACTTCTTAGATATATAACCAATTTTTCATGTTAATATCAGTTCAACCACAAGTGAGTCCACATGAACAGTTCAACCACAAGTGAGTCCACATGAAAACTCAGTTACATGCTCCTGCTTGTCAGGGTGTCATACTGTCATAGCATCTGCTTACTCTTCATAAGTTTTTTCTTTTAGTATTTGCTTATGCATTGACTGCGTTTTTATATTTATGAACTCCGCTTTTAGAATTGAGAAGCATGCTGTGGGGATTTTTATATTTTCTAAACGTATCAATGTATATCTGTCGGCCAGGGCCAGAAAGGTTCTACATTTATTTTGAGGAAAGAGATAATTTATATTTTCTGAATGTCTCAAGTATAATTTAAATGCATGCAGAAGGGGGATGATCCTGGTAAATTCAGACAATTGGATGAGATCTTGTTTGTTGATGGATATCCTGAATATCAACATTTAATGTCCACTGTGGAGAACTGTATGCAAGTAGTTTGTGAAGTCAGAGGTGATATATGCAGTCCTTATTTAGAATTTCAGTTTGCAAGTTTGCAAAGTTATCTTATGATCTAAGTAAATTACTTAGTAGATATTTTCAACGTAAAATCTGAAGTGTGTCTTTGATATAGAACTCTCTCTATTATGCTGGTCATAGACAATTAAACATGACAGTCTCATTGCTGACCACTTAAGGCCATGCTATACTTTTTGCTTCCTTTCCCCTCCATAATAATATCCAGGTATATATGACTTTGATTTCCAATCTTGACAATGGGATGGATTCTTTATGCAGTTTTGTAGCAATAATATTGTCATATGGGGAATAGCCACATCGATGTCTAAAGGGATTAATTTTGCAGAGATCAAATTTTTACAAGACCTGTGGTAATTATGTGTGATTGTGGTGATTAATTTTGATTTCTTCTCTCTCTTTGCATGCGTAGAAGTTGGGTCAATGAAATTCTTTAGGCTTGATGACGCAAAGGTTCAACGTTGGCTGTATTATAAGGTGTGTCTGTTAATCTGCCTACACAATATAGCAGTAGAGTAATTCCTTCCTGTGGATGTCATGAACGAGGTATAATATCTTGTCTAATGAACTGATGACTGAGCTTCATGATGTTCTTGTCATAAAGTGACTAAGAATAAAACATGGCTGATATCTTTTTTCCACATATTATGATAGACTGGTTTCAAGGATGGTTTTTTTTGGCACATGTATCCCTTGGAGATATTGTGCGAGTGCTTTCATCTGTGTTAGCAAGATTAGATTCGGATTTCGTAGAACAATACTAGGCATAATATTAGTTTAGATGGTGATCTCAGTAATATCAAATAAATCCGATATGTCCCTGTATACTTGTATATATACTGTATACCTCCTGCGAGAAAACTTTGAACAAAAATATACAACTTTTTACCCTAATCTGAAACAATCTGACATGCTGTTTTATTTATTCCAGAATATATATTTGTCATGAATAATTTAGTTTCTTGAGCTTGAAAAGTTGTAACTGGTATTAAAGTTTGTTATTTTGGCGTCACTTATTTTAGGTTTGTCAGCTGAAACTGACGCTTCCCAAGCTGGACAAAAACTATGCTGTACAAGAAGGGAAAGACACATGTAAAGCTTGTGAACTGTTTATTACCATCCTGTTCTACTGCCTCTTGAAAAATTTCCTTTGGATGAGGTTGAAATGAGAAAAGGGAATAGCAATACTTTATATCAAAAGACGAAACATGTTGCGAAAGCAAATTGGGCCCTTGGATCCTGTGCGTATCTGCTCTCTAATTTGTGCGTTTTAAGTGTTGTGTGTAGCATAATGGTGATGAGGCTGGATTGGCAACTTGAGGAATTGATGTTTTCAATCAAGGAAATACCGGTTAAAATATTGGGTGCAAATCTATAATATAATATACTGCATTTAAACAAATTATCGTCTTTTTATTTGTTATCAAATTCACAGAATGGAAAATGAATCACAAAATTTATCCTATCGGCAGATTACATGGTTGATGGGCACCACACTTGATACAATAAATATCCCACTAGAATTTCCTATCTCCTCGTAAAACTTGAAGAGCATGTCTGGTTTCTGGGCATCACACATTTCGCTGCTTAGTAATTTACTGATGTTACTGGTGCAGTGGTGGACGCAGTCTCAATATTAGGAGAGTACTTGAAGGATGAACCTTGGTTGCAGTTTTTGTGTAACTATCTTAAGTATGGCCTTCAAGCGTGTCTTGTCACCAAGATCTTACTTATATATGCTTTTTGGGCTTAAAAACAATTTAGGTAAAGAGTGGGAATCTTTGAAATGTTTCAAGAAGTGTTTTAACTTTTGCAGGTTAGACATACTTGAGGTTAGTGGGAAAGCACAAGTGAGCGATGCTCCTAGTAATGACCCCGGTTTTGTCAATGAATCTCAGGTATTTACTGATACGAGAGACTAGTAGTTGCTATTCTGAGTTGTAGTTTATTTTGATGCTTGCTTATTATTAATTATCAGCAGGAAAACAATGAGGATAAAAAGCCTGCAAAAAGGGGAAGACAAGCCAAGAAGCCAAAAATGGAGACAGAATCACACAACATCAAAGACATGTTTACCAGGGCTTCGCGTAAGAAAAGCTAACGCACTGTCATTTGGTGAAATATGAATCATTTGTCGTTAAATGGACTCTGTTCTGGAGACATCAGCGTTATGGGATAAGCGCTGAGTCAGATCTTAATTTGTACCGTCCAATTTATTTTTGAAGATATAATTAAATATTGTTTCCATGTCACTTTCTATCACATAGATAACGTATTTGCTCTACCTTTATAGACGCCATCTGATCTTATGACTTGCATTATTTTAGATGGGTAACCGTTCACTTTACCCCTTCCCGTGGTCCCTAGGGCAACTAGATTTCTTGACGCTTGATGAACCTTTATTTTTTTCTTTTATCCTTGTAAGTTCAAGAGTCGGCCATCCTTTTGAAGCTGCTGGACCCCTGTGGCAAAACACCTTTACTAGGGTTTAGCATCATCCATCGGCTGGGCTTTTACCTCTCTGGGATTTTTTTTTTTAATTTTTTGACTATGCAAGACTTTCATTTCACTCTTTGTCCATGAAAGGTTTTTCTCTGTGGATGAGTTTCGGTTTTTCAAATGTATGTTTGTATGTATGAATGATGGAGGCTTACAACCTGATTCATCAGATTTACAACTATGAGTGTTTAATCTCAAAGATAGAAGGCTAGAGAAGACTTTTTACTTCGAAGACAATTGAGAGGTGCCTCGACACTGTACATGCGCACTAATGAATTTTGTACTCTTTACTCATTCAACTTGTAATTTTTATTGTTGTAATTTTACTTCACTTTTGAGTAAAGCGAATTTAAATGATTTTTCAAGACTTAAAATTCTTCGCAAAATAAGTGTTATTTCTAAGCCACCGCCTTTGGCGTGAAGGTTTGTCGCAACAAATGAAGTATTTTGATAGTAAATATTTGATGTCATCTTTCAGTACTAAATTTTTTGGGTGACAGGTTTTTCCTTCGAATCAAAATATAAGGTTTTTTTTTTAATTTTTAAAGTTTTATTTGATTCAAAATATAATGTATTTGATAGGTATTGTATATATTTTTTTCAATTATAGCCTTTATTGAGTAATTAATGATAATATTTTGAATAAATCAAATGGCATATTTATTATATTTAAAAATATGATTGGAAAGACATGAGAATTATTTTTGAAAATAAAGATTTTTAACAAACTTTTAAATAAAATTAGTTAATTATGACTTATAATTTTGAGGAAATAGTCTTTTCTTAGCTAGGGATGTATGCCAACTTTTTTTAATTTTCATGGCGATTACTTGTATTTGTACCATTTGCCATAATGCCGTACAATATATCTAAAGTGTTTTGGTTTATAGTTTAACTTTTACTACTCAATAATTCATTTTGTCTCCAATGAAGCTTGAAATGAAAGGTTTTGTCATAGATCTAGTTTATTGAAATTAAAAAAATTGACAAAAAATATGTGTGTTTAAGTTGAAATTGAATATTACATTTCTGTATTTAAAAAATAAAAAAAGAAGACCAGCTTTTCTAGTTTTTTTTAAAAAATATAATTCTCTAATTAAATATATTTCCGTCCTATTCATGCGTGCAAATTGCAATGACGAGAAATCTCAGAGTCATATTATTATTTATTTCTAACGTGACCTTTTTTTAATATATTAATTAATGGGTTGTTGTCGCGTCTTAACAAGGAGTGTAATTTTGGCCAAAAAAAAAAGTGTTGTAATAACCTGATTTTTGTTTTTTGAATAAAACTAATGACCTGATTGATTAGTTGCAGAGAATTAAAAACATGATTGATCGAAGCATAATGGCGGTATAATAGATAACGGTCTCCTGAGTTTATTATAGTCCACTTATGTGCCCAACCGTTATTTGGTCCTCTTTTAATTTCATAGCCCAAAAATCCAATTTATGCTTTTTTACAATATCGCATTTCTGGCACTTGCTTGCCTCCATTTGACGTGGCAATCAGTATTAAATTTTGATAGTGCCCTGCTTCTTGATTACGACACAAGCTTGCATTTTTCATACCACTCTCCGTCCCTTTCTTTCCCCTTGCAGACTCAGAAGTCTTCAAATCCTCCTCCTCTTTTCCTGCTTCTTCATCCGCAACTTCATCTCCAAAGGTACGTGCTATCAACAAGTTTCCCGGCCATTGCATGTTCATGAATAGAATTAGAATCACAACCTGCACTAATCAGTCGTTTCTATTTTGGATTTCTTTCCGTTCGCGCTAGTTTCCTTCCTTTATTTTTTTGTTTTTTGGGTTTTGATGGTTCGTTGCATGGTGTTTATGCTGTAGTGTTAGGGATGACTCTTGACTGGTTTTGATGAACTTGTCTGCAAAATTATAGCACAAAATAAGAAAGTGCTTTCTTTCGTTTCATTTAATGACGGAGGACATCAATTCCATGCCAAGATTGGTGACTCGTTGGGTTATCCGAGGATACGAAGTATGAATGTCAAACCAGTTGAAGAAGGCGTATACGCAACCCTTAGCCTTCTTGCAGAATTTGAAGCATCCTTGGGAGGAATATTCCAGCTAACTCCCTTCAGGAATTATTGCCTTATATATCAGCCCATTAATAGCCCACTTTTATAGCAGTTCGCTACAAATTACTCCTCTTTCTTCAATTCTTTATTGAGGAGAATGCTTCAGAGAATTTAACAAGTTTTTAAATGGAAAAAGATGCCCTCGCGCATGATCTGAATGTCCTTGGCCTCAGAGGCCTCTTTCAGAACAGACGAACGGTCAGAGATAAAAGTGAAAGTCAAATTTAAATAGAGCTATGTAATATATTCACTAGGTAATATATTGCATTTTGGATATTACAATCAAAACTCATTTCATTCCTCTTCATCAAATAGGTTTCAAGAAGGTGTATAACTTGTACGAAAGGAGGGTGGAGAGTGGAGGACATCCCTTGCTTCCTGCAACTCCAATGGCAATGGTGGATATTGAACCTAAATATGTTGATAGCGATAATGTCATGAAGATCCTTGAAGCTGAAGGTGTTGAGTTTCTTCTATCTTGTGAAGGACAGGTAAGTTGGGTTATGCAGAAACCTGAAGGGCGTCCTTGCATGTCAAAGAAAATAGGTTCATTTATGGAATCATTCTCATCTTCACTATTCAATCCAGTAATTTAATTTTTGTAGCATCCTCGAGAATTTGCAATCGCTTGTTTTGTCTGCTTGGTTAATATATATTAAATGTTAATGCATTATCAACTTTGAACTGAGATTAGGTACCCTTGTCATCTTGCAATGGGAAAACTATCTGCCTTTTCTTCTCTGCAAACTGGTACAGGCCTTGCAGAACATTCGTTCCCCATCTGGTTGAACTTTATCGCACATTGAGAAATAAGGGTGTAAGCTTAGAGATTATCTTCATCTCTTTTGACCGTGATGAGGATGCATTTCAACAGCACTTCAAGAATATGCCATGGCTGACCGTACCATTTGATGTTAATTTGCACAGAAAACTCATTAACAGATACAGAGTGGATCGAATCCCATCATTCATTCCATCGTCCCCAAAGGGCATCACTGGAGAAGAAGACTGGATAAGTTGCATTGAGGATTACGGTGCTGAAGCATATCCTTTCACAACTAAGAGACGTGAGGAATTGAAAGTCTTGGATAAGAGAAAGCGGGAAGAAGGAAGTTTGGAAGAATTATTGGGTCATGAAGGGCGCAACTTTCTCATCTCCATGGATGACAGAAAGGTAGCATAATCTCTTGCCTGAAGCTGTTCTGCTGTTGCGTAGTATGTCATAAGATAGTAAGTAGATGGAGTCAATCATGAAAGTATTTATATGCATGTTAAGGGTGGGCATCACTGAAATCTGTTCTTGACATGCGTCTTTCCATGATTGACTTGATCTATTTATGTAATAAAATGAGTATCGTTAGATTGCAGATCCTTGCCAGTAAATAAAAAGGCAGTTAGATGAAAGATAGAGAGGGAGAGGTAGGACCCATTTGTGGACCATGCTTTTAACTTTTTCTAATTACCCCATAGGATTTGTTAATGTCTAGTTACGAAATTTTTCATGTCATAGTTAAGTGTGCATAAGATTTCTCATTGTCACAGGAAGTGTTATATAATTCAATACATGGACGACATTGTAATAGGCAAACTAAATCATAGTAAGACATACAAACATGTTAGCGGCAGGCTCCATTTAAAGGGTTGTTAAACATACTGTCAATTTTTTCATGACTATTTGGTTGACCAATCTTTTGTAAATGTTACAACTTAACTTGTTGCTTACAAATAGGTCCGGAGGTAGTATAGTTAATACTTGAGCACTTGTGACGTGTCATATTGTTGCAGGAACCAATATCTAAACTGGCGGGAAAAACAGTTGGCCTCTACTTTTGTGCTTATTGGTCTCCTCCTTGCCGTTCCTTTACTGTCCAACTTACAGAAGTATACAACAATCTTAAGACAACAACAGACCACTGCTTTCAGATTGTTTTGATCTCAACAGACAGAGACATCCAAGAGTTCAACGTCAACAAAAGTAGCATGCCATGGCTTGCTATTCCATATGAAGACAGAACAAGGCATGACCTTTGTAGAATCTTTGATATCAAAGGCATTCCAGCATTAGTTCTCATTGGACCAGATGGTAAAGTCACAAGTATGAATGGGAAGTTTATGGTATGCACTTACGGCTCTGAAGCTTTCCCATTTACAGAATCAAGGATAAGGGACATAGAAGCAGCTCTGAGAAAGGAAGGAGAGGCTTTGCCTCAAGAGGTTGAGGATGTGAAGCACGAGCATATGCTGAAGTTGGATATGGCCAAAGCATACGTTTGTGATTTCTGTAAAAAACAGGGAAGGTTCTGGGCTTTCTCTTGTTGTCTCTGTGATTATGACCTTCACCCTAGTTGTGTTGAAGAAAAGGTGAACGAAGATGATAGCTTGTAAAACAACACGATCACACCACTTCTAAGTGGGCAACCGAGTTATATTAACTAGATATTCTTTATGGGGAAGGAAAAAGGAATTGATTTAAGAATCTGTATAACAGCAAGATACTAGAAGACTACAGAAGAACCTCTTTATCCGATATTACTCTGTTAATATTGATAAAAGAACATTATCTAATCACGCCACTTTTTAGGTAATCTATTGAAGAGTTATGAGATAATGCTCGGGTATGAATGGGAAAAAAAATAACAAATTTAATAATAACTTTGTATATGGAATATCCAAGGATAAAGAACAAGAACGAGATGGACAGAGAAATAACTATATACATCATCATATTATGAACATATGATTTGTCAGCAGTAGAGAAGTGGTTTCCTAAGATTTGTTAGGTTACTACCTAAAAATTCATGAAATTCGGAGCCAGTATTATTTCCTTGTTAATAGGAGAGTCCTTTTTTTTTTTTTTGTGCTCCTTTTTTATCGAAGTCCTTCCTGAAAAAAAAAAAAGACAAAATATTGTTCTTTTAAAATAAAAAAAAAATTGTGTTCAAATTATTTGTAATCTATATCATTTTTAGATATGATAAATTTTTGCGTCAAGTAGTTTAACCTCAACTCTTGTATATGAACGTGTATTCGTGGGAATACTCCCTCAGTCCATAACATTACCCACTTGCCAGTTACTATTATTAGTGTGTTCAATTTATCTTCAGACTACATCAGATATCCTTGTATTGTATCAAGTCATTTTAAGGCACGTGCACTTATAAACTACTTAAAAAAAAAGTTAAAAAACTGTGTCCTCCATGAAATGGCCCCTGATGTTTCTTTCCAGAAGATATGAGATGAATCACCTGCAGGACAAAAAGTGGTGTGATGATCAGAGGTAATCCGCAAACTTAGGTTGTTCTCTCATGGAAGAGAGAGAAAGATAACAACCTGTGTGGATATCTCATTCGGGAAAACCTCAAAATAGTTAAAAAGCCCAAAAATGACTGCTATTTCCCGACAGGAAAAACATCTGTCCACCGCTATTCTTATGCCGTTAGGATTAGAACACCCAAGTAATAAGCAAAGAGTTAATAAATCAAACAAAAGCAACACGGGCAGGATGTATTCAAACACCAACAGAAAACAGAAGAAGAAAATATCTTTAGCAATTTCCATCCATGTTCCATTCTGTACGTATTAAAAAAATATATATATCCAAGAGCTTCCATTTTCACAGGGTGTTCCAGATATGACAAACATCAAAAGGGGAATATAAGTTCAAGAAAAAGGATAGAACTTTGGATAATGCTAAAAGAATGATCAGGTTATGAGTTACATTGTTCAATGTTCTTCGATTGAAAGAGGTTTGAATTAAAAAGGGGGGATAAGGAAAGACAGAGAGAGAAAGGGGGATGTGGTTGCCGAAGAATCAACCGGAGAGGAAGGATGGAGTTCAGGGGATAGTGGCAGTGGCAATAGACAGAGACAAAGGAAGCCAGAATGCACTCAAATGGGCCATTGATCATCTCCTTGTACGAGGATCCACCGTAGTTCTCATCCATGTCAAGGTTAAGCCATCTTCATTGTCTGCATCGCCTTCTCTTCAAGCCCCAAGTGAGTGTGTGCGTACGTATATATGAAACAAAGCATCATAAATAGCTCCTTTCATGTTGAAATTCGATATTCAAATGGCTTCAAGATTTTTTTTGATTGCAGGGGCAAATGGTGGTGGTGATGAGAATTCTTTAATATGCAAAGATCCTGATCCTCAAACCAGAGAAATTTTCCTACCATATCGGGTCTTCTGTACACGGAAAGATGTAAGATTTGCTTCTCCTTCCTATCGAGAAAACCAAGAAAAGAACAAGCTTTGAGAACAACAAATACTATTTGTGCCATCACTTGGTTAATTTTACTTTCACGAAATGACACAACAAATTATGTACATTTGAGATTTTCGACATGATTTTATCTTCTTACTACATCTTTGGTTTTTGTATGGTGTGGAATTGGGTGGATGGACCATAGATACAATGTAAGGACGTTATACTCGAAGATGCAGATGTATCAAAAGCTCTAATAGAATACGCTTCACATACAGCAATCGAGCATTTGGTTCTTGGTGCGTCAACCAAAGCTGGTCTGCTTCGGTATGTAAACACCATGCTAAGCACTTGACCGACCATGAGCTCTTCACATGCTTGTTTCACACTCCAATGATGGGGATAATAACTGACTTTATTGACACATAAATATTATTAATCCCAAGCTAGAGGCTAAACTTGTTGAGTACAATATGCATTTTGTGTTTTCTAAGAAAGATATTCTTATCAGAAGATTCAAGGCAGCGGATATTCCAGGAACCGTAGCAAAAGGGGCACCGGATTTTTGTAACGTGTATGCTGTTGCTAAAGGAAAAATCCATTCAATGAGATCAGCTACTCGTTCTGCACCAGCTATTTCTCCTCTACGCAACCAGCTCACTCAACCAAGCATCAAGTCAGATCACTCAGACCCAGGACCAGGAGTGCCTCCAACTAATAATAACAATATGAGAGGTTAGATTCATCTCTTAAAATATCAAACGTGCATGCATAAAACACAGCCTCTATGTTGTTGCTAACAGAGATAAGTTTCAACCAGGACGTGATAGGCGAAGCCTTGATGGTCCTTATAAGTCGCAGGATGAATCCGAATCCTTCAGGTCAGTGACATTGCTTGGTGCCTATAGTGAAACAGAAGCATTTGTTTATTAATGTCAACTGAAGGCTAAAAATGGAGTTGGAATGGTAGGTCACCGTTCACTAGGAGAGGTATGAATGGCAAGTCATATGGAGAACTGTCTATACCAGATACTGACATATCCTTTGTGAGTTCTGGTGGAAGGTCAAGTACAGATCGCATGTTCCCTTCATTATTTGATACCCCAGACGCTGGATTCTCCAATCCACGCCTGTCTTATAGCTCAGAACCAGATAGTCATAGCTTCGAGTCCTCGTCGCAGTATGGGAGAAGGTCTGTGGATATGGTCAGCCCTCCTCCTGAATTTTCATCAATTGCACAGGATAGTGACAGACTTTCTTCTTCATCGGGCCTGGTAAGTACAAGCAAACAATTTTAATGTTCATCCTCCTAAAAGGAAGTTTTTTTTTTGGGCATCAAAATTGATGCTAGCTGCTAAGGCTCCATCAGAACAGTAGATTGCATTTGTCATGCTGATAATCTTGCGCTGAAATTACAGGATGATGTGGAGGCTGAAATGAGGAGACTGAAGTTGGAGCTCAAGCAAACAATGGAAATGTATAGTACAGCTTGCAAAGAAGCACTCTCAGCAAAACAGAAAGTATGTATTATGAGATTACAGCACATATGTTTTGTGTCTTTAAAAGCACGACCAGTTTCGCTAGATTTTGCTTTTGCATCGCAGGCAATAGAACTTCAGCGATGGAAGTTAGAGGAAGAGCGAAGGTTAGAAGAGGCAAGGCTAGCAGAGGAAGCTGCATTGGCAATTGCAGAGAAGGAGAAGGCCAAATCCAAAGCAGCTCTTGAAGCTGCTGAGGCACAAAAGAGAATAGCAGAACTGGAAGCACAAAAAAGATTGAGTGCAGAAATGAAAGCACTCAGAGAAGCAGAAGAGAAGAAAAAAGCACTAGATGCCTTAGTAAATATAGATGTCAGGTACAGAAAGTATTCCATTGAGGACATTGAAGCTGCAACCCAGTTCTTCCAAGAGTCCCAGAAAATTGGAGAAGGTGGTTATGGCCCGGTCTATCATTGCTATCTGGACCACACACCCGTTGCAGTTAAGGTTCTACGTCCCGATGCAGCACAAGGAAGATCACAGTTTCAACGAGAGGTAAACTACACAACAAAATAAAGTTAACCCACAAATGAAACGCAGAAAATACAACTCTACATATGGAAAGTTTGGATTTTGAAGTCATGTTAAGCAAAAAAAAAAATGGGCTACAATGTTTGTCTCTTTTACAGGTTGAGGTACTTAGTTGCATACGGCATCCAAACATGGTTCTCCTGCTAGGAGCCTGCCCAGAATATGGATGCCTTGTATATGAATTCATGGCTAATGGAAGCCTGGACGATCGTCTATTTCGCCGAGGAAACACTCCGTCTCTTCCTTGGCAGCTAAGATTCAAAATTGCAGCTGAAATAGGCACTGGCTTATTGTTCCTTCACCAGACAAAACCAGAGCCTCTGGTTCATAGGGACTTGAAACCAGCTAACATCTTACTTGACCGCAACTTCGTGGCCAAGATCAGTGACGTGGGTTTGGCCAGGCTAGTCCCACCCTCTGTGGCTGACAATGTCACACAATACCGCATGACATCCACTGCTGGAACTTTCTGCTACATAGACCCAGAATATCAGCAAACAGGAATGTTGGGGGTGAAGTCAGACATATATTCCCTTGGGATCATCTTCTTGCAGATACTAACAGCAAGACCACCAATGGGTTTAACCCATCATGTTGAAAGAGCCATTGAAAAGGGTACATTCAAGGATATGTTGGATCCAACAGTGCCTGATTGGCCAAAAGAAGAGGCCTTGAATCTTGCCGAGTTGGCTCTCAAATGTGCAGAGTTAAGGAGGAAGGACAGGCCTGATCTGGGCAAAGTCATATTACCAGAACTAACAGATTGAGAATGCTTGCCGACAGTAACAATCATCAGTCACTTTTGAGTGGCTATTTAAGCCCTCCCAATCTGAGCCTAGTTTCAGCGCCGGTGGTATGTTTTGCATTTTCTGTCAACTTTTTCTTTTTCTTTTTTGCATGCTGTGCCAAAAAATCAGTGTTAGTAGTTTATTCACAATGTGTTGCTGGGTGCGGTTGTCCAGGTGCAGGAACAAATCGGTTCCGCAGCCTATTCTGGGGAGAACACAAGAAATAGATCAAGTCCTGCTTGAGGAATCAAACAATATTTGAAGAAAAAGAAAAGAAACTTATGTCCAATCTCAAGGATTAATTGTAAATCACTTAGGTGGATCCGTATAATATCAATACTTGATTTTCCAATCCATAGATGCAGTTTTTCAAATATTCATTTTTTTGTATTAATTTTTTTTACACGCCTTCATTTGATCTTTAAAAAAAAAATTATAATAGTTAAACAAGTGCATTGTATTTTTTTAGCCTTTCTTTTTCACATATCTCCGTTGAGGGCATCGTGTATATAAAATTTAATTTACTTCTAGTTCTAATTATTAGAACTATCAAGGGTTAATGAGCAAATAAGACTCTGAATTCTTATTCAAAAATCATCCTGAACCCTGAATTCTTAAAATAAACAAAATAAATCCTAAACTTTTAAATTCATAGCAAAATAAACTTTGATCATTGACTTTTTTAACACATTACTGTCCACCTGAATACTGTACCATTTACGGTTAAATTCGTAGGAATATAAACCTGAATAGTACCTTCATGGATAGTAATAATGTTGTACTTGTTCTACCAGCCTTTGTTCTTGTTCAATTGGTACTGCTTGTTGTCCAACTGATAAAACTTGTTCCAGTCTTGGCATATTTTCTAAACATTATCAACTGTGTCACTTGTTTGCACCATATTATCCCTTCTAAGGATGGAAGCAATTTCAAAAGAGAGAAGTTAACTCTAACTCAATAAAAGAAATTAGTATGTGTAAGGTGATGATTGCCAACTCTAAATGCAATGCACTTTTACAAATCAGTCACAATTCACAACAATAGACCACATACTAATTCTTAAAATTAGAGAAATTGATATCAAGTTGTAAAATCTCTCTTACCAAACCACATCTTTATCACCAACACCTAGGTACTTATGAGATTAACCCAACAAGTTATTCTATCATAGTTAATTATTTTCAAAATACTTTTGAAATCAAGTTGTATTCTTTCACAAATTGGGATCCTAGTTTTCAAACCGTTTAAAATTATTTTCCAAGGACTTCAATTGGTCCAAAATAAAGTTTAAGATAATTACAAAATTATGAGATACCATTTGTTGATTAATAGATCTAGAAGTTAGTTGAAAAACAACCAATAGCACTACACAAAGAGCTGTACAGCAACATATCCCTCATTATGCCTCGCGTAGTGGTGTAGGCACCATGTGCTATGGTGCATTGGACAGTTTGATAGCAACTGTGCTATTAAATTGAAAACATAGGGATAGAATTCCATAGCACCCCATTTTTCTTTTCGATGTTTGATTAAGGTAATCTAACTGTTTACAAAAAGCTCTTTTAATACATTAGCTAGAGGCATGAGTCTTATTTTCAAATAATTTTACACAAAGAAGTTGAACACGAAAACTCATTTACATACTTTTTCACACTTTCCATAAACAAAGTGCCCAAAACCTAACTCTTACGCTAAAAGTTACAACTGACACTTAGAACACACTCAATGAACTCAAGACTATTTGTGCAACACACCAAATGCACAATATAACTCATATATGTCATTCTTAATTCTCAACCCCTTAATATCAAAATAGATGAGGGAGATTTAGCATTACATGAAATATGATAATCATTGCTTAAATAGTAAATCCTAAATTCAGTTCAATACTTGCATTAAGGTTTTGGTCTTATAGGAAGCTTACTCAAACTTATACAATTGCTCTATGGCTTCAAAATACAATAAATTTCCTCATGCAAACAAAGTGCAAGTAAAGAATCAAAACCTAATCCTAGTTGGCATTATCATTATAAGTTACACATTAGAATATAAAGTATGAGGATTTACAATAGGAACGAAATTCCTAAACCTCTAAAGCCTTTCCCTCTCTAACACTTAAGCTAAGGCCTATAAAATGTTAAGAGAGAAGGGCAAGTATAACTACTCAATAACTAAAATTCCTCTACCCTATGCAGTTGCACATTATTTGACATTTTTTAAAAAAATCATATATGAGGTATATAATCACATATCCTACAATTTCACAAATATCTCATGTCATTTCGTACAAATCATCATAATCTCATCTTTCCACAATTCAAATTACAAGGCACATCGCCACAATGCTAACAATCATGTGGCGATGGCCAAATCATAATAACAATCACATGACAATGGCCAACTCAAATATCACAACTTGCCACAAACTTAACATCCATGTGACATTTCGGATAATATATATGATCAAACTAACCTTACATCCTCCTTATACCTTCTCATTAAAACCATAGGCTATAAATCAAATAGGGCTTTATTTGTGTAATAATAGACTATCCAAACTCACCAATTGTGAGAAGCAGCCTGGCCAAGGTCACTAATCTCACTCTTAGATTATAGCTTCCCCCACTCTCGAATCTCTAGGGTGTCATAAATATTAAGCTATTTTCCTAGACAAATAGGTGGAAATAGCTAGGTTTGAGTTCCTCTACAAATAATGGGACAATCCCTTCACAAATAGTGGAACAGTGGTTATTTCTCGATTTTAATGGTAGCTGGCCGACTAGCTTTTGATTCCAATCATAAGTAGCCAATATCATGTGAATTTTTATCTCTTTTCCTCTCCCCAGGCGAACTCTTGCCAATATGATCAAGCAATCATTCATGCTCACATATAGCATGTTATTAACCACAACAGTGTGTCCAATTATTTATTAGCATTTGAAATGTAATAATTATGTATCTTATCTCATTATACATTTCCAAGGACACATAAGCATACAAATATAACTACTTAATATCACATATTTTACTTCTCATTATTTCATCATCGTATATTCATATCACATTGCTCATCATTTCATATGAAGTTTTCTCAATAACACATATAATTATAACATTATATAACTTCATTGAATAGTCACATTGCCATTAATACTTCACAACCACAATAATAACAAATTTAATGTCTATTTTCGGACATTAATGGAGCTATTATCCAATAACCACCAAAATCATTTATACTAAGTTTAAATACTCTAAACAACTCCCATTAACTTCATTTGAGTCAATGGGTTCGGACCCATAATCTATATGGACTGAAATTACCATCCTCATCTGAACCTTAACTCAAATCCTTGAGAAAATGAAAGAGAAAAGGAGAAAAATAGTTTAGAAATCAAGGAGAAAAAGAGTTTAGAAATCTTACCTTGGGTGTTTATAGCCTCCAACATACTCCCAATGTCATTTACAAGCAAACCCTAGCAGAGCTTGATGCATCTCTTTTGTTCTCTCTCTTCTTTCTCTCTGTTTTTTGCATCAGTTTGTATATTAATTTTGCAGATTTCGCAACAACGCATGTCCCTATGTGCCACATTATGTGGCACTGAGAAGGACATTCTCACCTGATGGCCCCATGCATTGTGGCGCACCGCGCACGTGCCACGACATATGACACAAAGGCTGTTTAACTTGTTTTTCTTCATTTTTTAGTCTCCAAGTGACCCAATTTCACTTTGAACCTAAATTATACCTGAAATCAACTAAAAACACTTATTATTCTCTTCTGATCACACACTACATCAACTTACTTACTTATCCTTATTAATCTTAGTAAATCAGGAAACTAAAAATCAAGATGTTACACTATATGCCGTGGCACACACTACACACGTTGCGACATATGACATAAAGACTTCCTTCCTTGTTTTTCTTCACTTTTGATGCAAAAGTGACCTAATTCACTTTGGACATAAAATTATGTCTAAGATCCCTCACTACACACCACATAAATCCAACTTAATTACCTTTAATTAGATTGATTATCAAGAGGTTGATTTTTAAGATGTTGCAAAAGGTAGTGAGAAAACATGGAAAATGACAAACAAAAGAGGAAGAAGACTGATTGGCTTTGCTTATGACTTATGTTGTTATTGGTGTTCTGGATTTATGATTAATCAGTTTAGTTATAGTCTTTAGTTGTTTCTTTCAAGCTTCTTTGACAAATTTAGAGATTGTAAGTCATGACATTATTGTTTTTTGAACTACTTTGGGTACTCTTACATTAGGATTTCCCAAGGTTTATGTAAGTCATTTCATTGCAGGTGGAGTGCTAGCGAGTCCCAATTTATTATTTACATATGAAAATTCATTATTTATGACTGGTGTGACTAGTTTATATTAGATGAATGTTTTGATGTGTGTGATTTTGTTAGTCATTCACAAGTGGTCATCTTAGATTTACAAATGAAAATTCATGAGTTACATATACAAAGTCATTATTTACATGTAGCAAATTTAAATTGAGTGAATGTTATGATGACAATGACCTTTTTTTATCATTAAAAATTGATCATCTTGAATTTTTATATGAGAATTCTTGATTTACTTATGAAAATAACTTTAATCTATTATTTATAGAAACATGAATTATGATTTGTGAATTAGAAATTTTTATTTATAAATTGTAAAGTTACAGTTACAAGTTAAAAGTAAATATGACTTTGATTTATTATTTATAAAACATAAAATATAATTTATAAATTAAGAAATTTTACTTATAAATTGTGAAGTTATAATTGTAAATAAAGAATAAACTTAATTTTTATCTATTATTCATAAAATATGAAATATGTCTTGTGAATTAAGAATTTTTACGTGTAAATTGTGAAGTAACAAAATAAATTTGTAAATTGAAACTAGTAAATGATATGTTGTAAACATGATAAAATGTGTAAATTCTAATAGTAAATATGTTAATTACATTTATAAATTATAGCCTTCATATTTTCAAAGAACTCTCATTTGTTTATTTACCATTTATAATTGCAATTTCATAATTTACAAATATAAATTTTTTTTTACAAGTCAAATTTCTTATTTTACAATTGAAAATGTATGCAATGAATTGTTAAAAAGTCTAAAAATTTTGGGAGGAATAATCCATAACAATCATCCTATTAAATTGCTGCTATGATTGTAAATAATGAATTTCCAGAAGTAAATCAATAATTCTCATTCATAAATGGATTAAATTCAAAATGATTACTTATTAATAATCATAAAACGTCATGAACTTGGCATCACAATAATCATCTTAATTGAACCTGTCAATCCAATTATAAATAATGAACTTTCATATGCAAATTAAAAATTCTCATTCGTAAATCCAAAGTGACCAATTATTTATGACGACAAAAGATCATGAATAATCAAATAACAATCATCGCATTAACTTGTTAGCCCAGTTGTAAATAATGAATTTTACACAATATATATGAATTCGAGTTAATTCACAACTTCATTTCCAAAACTTTCAACTTAATTGTAAGTCATTTACAGCTAGATCTACAATACTGTATACATATAATGATATCAACGGAACTAACCTAGTGCAATGTTTTCTATTAAGGATGAAAGCTTGATAAAAATTATTAATCCTCATATTCTCCCTTGTCCACAATGTTTGAGTCGAACCCACATTCTCGGTGTTCCTTCTCCAAGTCTCTCAAAAACCAGGTCCTTTGATGATTCTCCTCATTTTGTTTCTGATCAACAAATGCTTAGAAAAGGGGATCTTGAAGAAGAGGCAGAGTTGTTGAGAGCTTTGAAGTTATCTGAGGCTGATTCAATAGCATCAGTAAGTAATGATGTCGAGGGTCATGTAAATGGAACCAGCATGTCTATCAGTATGGATGATAATGCATACCAGTTTGCTGAAATTTACAACTCGAAGTTCCTAATTTAGGACTGAAATTTCAGTTTTTTACAACTGTGTACGGAGTAAATGGATGGAAAATGTTTATACAAACGTGCTAACATACCTATTAATAAGATACTCATATCTAAGGTGGGATTTGAATCAATAGCCTTGTGAGACATGAGTTGCATGCTTGCCAATACTAGACTAATCTTTGTTGATTAAGGCATTGTTTTTTGTTTCATTTTTATCTTTTCTTCTCGTTAGATGCATAAGAAACCAGCACTAAAAGACAAATTTGTTAGGAGCTTAGTTAGGATTCAACCAGTAACGAAGGAAAATATATTATAGTATAGTTTTGTTCTTGTTCTTCTACTTAGTTGTGGTTATAACTCTCACAAACACCAAATGAGAATGAAATTAAGATGAGTGAGAATTGAGAAAGTCACAATCACGAGACATTATACATAACTCTGTAATAGCAGTTTGAAGGCAACGTGCATGATCATAAGAATTTTTTACTAGTTTTTATTAAGCCGTGCTCAAAACAGATAGATGGGATCCACTGCACCAGAAATATTAATGCAAGGCATTCTTGAACCATGAGTGGATCAGAGAATTTCATTTGCCAACAAATTCACGCACTGCTAACTTTGAAACCATAGCAACAAGACGAACAAACTAGAGTGCAGTTCAGAACACATCAACTAGGCACGTAAACTATACAGCTCAAAATTTCAAAACAAAAACCAAAAATTAGCTAATACGTAACCAAACTCCCAGTGTGATCACAATTGTACCAAACACATATAAAAAAAAAAATAATAATAATAATAAATAAAAAGCAAGAGAAAGGGGCACCACAAAACCTCTAAGGTAACGAAGCAAATACAATGACAATGGAGTCAAAGACTGCAACGACGACGGCAAACTGCACTGGTGAGAAGGCAACGATGGCAAGTGATACGACGGCAACGCTGCATTGGTGAGAAGGCAACGATGGACGAAGACAACACTGCGTTGGCATGCAAAAGCCTTCAACAGAGTGATGGACGAAGGGAACATGTTGAGAGAAGTTCGGTAGTTTGATGTCGATAAAGAGGGAAAGCGATGAGGACGACGGTAATGAAAGCCCAGGGGAGCTGGCATAGAAAAAGCCTCTAGGTTTCCAACTCAAAAAAGGAATTGGGGTGCTCACGATGGCAGGCTTGAGTCGTACGCAGAGGTAATTTTTTTGGAGGAACTTTTGTTTTAGGAAGCACGCAGGACATAAAGATCTTTTCCCTTAAAATTTAAATTATATTCAGATCCCATAATATTTGGTTATAATTTTTAAATTTTATAAAATTTATTAAAAGAATTATAGTTAAATCTCACATAAAAAAATTAATTACTAAACGATCATTGATAATTAAACTAAATATCATTAATAATTAATTATGTTGTCAATAATATTAAGTTTAATTATCAATAGATCTTATAATAATTAATTTTTTTATGTGAAGCTTTAATATAATTTTCTTAAATTTAGTTTTAAATAAGTTATTTTCATAAAACCTATACATAAATTTTTTAATTTATTAAACATGAACGAAGGACACTGGCATTAAGCATTAGCAACTTCACAAGCATCCATATTCAATATGAAATATAATGAGATTATGCGTAACTTTTTCTTATTCTTTCAATATTTTTTTCATTATCTTTTCACATATTTTATGGGACACTTGCAACTCTATTTGCAGTCCCTCAATAGTCAATACACATATCTCATCTCAATGTGATTTAAATGTTAAAAAATACTCTCTCCACCTCAAATTATATAACACTTTTAAAAAAGATTCAGCGTCCCAAAATATAAGACACTTTGATAAAAATAAAATTCTATTAAAAAAACTTTTTCATTACTCTTACCATATATTCTCTTTTTTTAATATTCTTCTATCAATGAGGTATTAAATGTAAAAAATTTTTAAAAATTTATATTTTTATCTTGTAAAAGTAAGGCTGTAAAGTATATTTAATGAACTCTATTAATATATAAAATTTTATCTAAAATATCTTATAATTTAAAAAATTTAAAATGGAGGGAGTACATTTTTTTAAGCAAAATTAAGTTGCTATTTTTCCCGTACCGCGTTATTTTCCTTGCATCACGTGGAAAACCAATCTAGTTTTAATTATGTCATTTTCAATCTTAATAATTATCTTCTTCCAACAGATTAAAAGATAATACAGTGAAACAAATTTACAGCTATACCAAATTTAAAGAAATATTGTCATATTTATAATTTATACTAGGAAATAAGAATTAAGCATATATTAATTAATCTATTTAAGAAACCAATTACTTTAAAAATGATAATAAAAAAAAGAATTTTAAGAAAATAAAGTCGGAACTACATCAGAGTCCGGGATTTCGCCTTTCCACAATAGAACAAAAATCATGGAATTAATGACATGAAAAGTCCAAAATCATCATATACAAAACCATTAATTAATAAGAAACTAAAACCCAAAAAGAAAACCCAGCGGAGCAGCGTCTAGCAAACCCATGCAAGGTCCCTTTTTGGGTCATCAGACGAACAATGAAAAAAATACTACATATACAACACCATAAAAATAAATTTATGTGGTGACTCAATCAAAAGGCCGATTTTCGAGATTAATAACGGAAGGTGGAACTAGGAAGCTCGACGCATGGGATGGATCAATGCCCCCAGAAATCAACGATAGTACATAAGGTGCTGCCTTGAAGAATTACCAGAATATGCGTCGTACATGGCTTGGGACCCCCCAGAGCTTAAGCCAATGGAGGATGCAGCTAGGCCATGTTGACCAGTCATATGCACGAGAGCTTGACCTGAAAGGCCAGATACAGCAGCCTGACTCAAGGCCAGTTGGCGCTGGTAAGCCAATAACTCAGTAGGAGAATAGCCTTGGTTCATCCCTGCTGTGGGAAGGATTTGATATGGTTGTGCAGGAGGAGGTAGTGGGTTCGAAGCTGTTCCGGGAGGTGTTGGCTTGTTACCCCATGAACACTGCCAAAAAAAAAAAAAACGAGAAAAAAAGAAAAGAAAGCATACATCAATCAGGGATACGCCTTATTCCCACTCACATATATTATCCCAACTGTCATTTTGTGTCTCAAGGCATTAGCAGTGCATCTTATCGTTAATTTTCGATTGAGCACAAGCATTTTAGATTTCCAGCACTAAGAAACTTGGGTTCATTAGTCTACAACATGACACTGACAAGTAAGTCGTCAAAGCATGGCCTTCACGCCATATAGCCCCTTTTTGGCGCCGCGTGAGGGTAGGGCTAGGTGTGGGCTCAAGCATGTTAGCTCGAACTCCCACATGTATCTTTTGATTAAACGTCAAAAAAATAACCAGCTATCTGCAAGACAAGCAAAATTGCAGGACAGAAGCAAACTTGCATCCCAACCAATACCAAGAAGTGCAGGCCTTTTATATTCCAGAATCATTGCCAACCATGAAAGGGAAAAGTTCGTTGACCGTACAAGCAAAAAGCACAAGACTTTTCACCTTCATTGTTTTTCCACGAAGTATTCTTCCATTAGCCATCTGAATGGCCAACTCTGATTCTTCATGAGTGTTGTATCTTACAAATCCAAAACCTTTATCCCTTTGAACTCGGACCTCCTCAATAACTCCAGCCCCCAATGCATGGAACTGATAGTGGAGTTCATTTTGTGTTACCTATGACCACAGACAACATTTGTAGGAATGTGACAAGTTACTAATCAAATCTGAAAACCAAAGAACACATAATTTGAAAGAAACGACAATACTATTCACCATCCAGGTAAAAACAGATAAGACATTAAATCGAAGTAGAAGCAAGAGTATTAATGTAGAATTAATGAAGCACAAAGCATCACCTAAACAGCAAGTAGTGCTCCAAAATAATATATCGACTTCAGAGATAGCCTGGGATGCTCATTTAATTAGATCAAGGCCAAAATACATACAAATCAAGGGATTCGCAGTTCAGGTGATAGACAAAAATGTAATAAATTACAAACCAGGACAAAAAAACTGTTCATAAGTCAAAAAGGCTTTGGCCAAAAAAAAAAGTCAAACAGGCTTTAAAACGGTCAAAAGCATATAACCTATATCCACACTATGGTTAAGGACTATAAAAAGCCAAGCCAGTCTTGTTAACTAAAATAATTTCTCTGCTAGGGAATGAGACACTCACATCAGAGTTATATAATAATGTATTATGTGTTTAAGATAACCATAACGTTTCACCCCAGTTCTTTTAACTTACATCATGGGGAAGGTTGCCAACATAAACAGTGGTATAGGCAGGACTGTTTTCAGGAGCATCTTCATTATTATATTCCTGACCTCCATCTGTTGAACCATGGAGCAAAACAAAATGAATAGTTTATCTATCAACAAGTCCTAAACTTCCTAATCAGTTTACTCAAATATCTCTTCATACAAGCATACAGAATATAAAGTTTAAAGAGTTCAACCAAGTTCAAATGCCTAATAGAATTCCAGTCACCAAAAATTTTAAATTTTTCTATACAGAGATAAAGATATGGCTTCATGAAGAAATAACAGCTAATGCATAGGACATGGAAATTAAACAATAACAAGTCTTATCCCATTAGGTTGGTCGGCTACATGAATTGTTCATTGCCATAGTGCTCTATTGATATGGATATCGAACAATGTTGAATTTTTCAGTTAAATCAAAACTGCTATACCAGGTACCCTAAGAGCTAACCAAGCGCAACAATGCTTTCAGGACCCCAAGAATTGATTGTCTAACCAAAAAAACAAGCAATTGGATAAGTCACCAAGGCTATAATGGCATTAACTTGAAGAGGTATAGAATGGTAGATAGCATGACTTAACAAAAATTGAACTGCTTGAATTCACATGCTTGCACATAGGCATGCTCCCTATACATTGCGAATTACATGGCATGTACTGCAAATTCAAGCTAATGAGATAACCTAAATCCAGAGATTCAAAAAATCTACAGTATAACCAACATTTATATAGCAATGGAGTTGCATAATGGCTCAACATATTAAAATAATCCATGATACCTGAAGACCCATTTGTAAGCACAACAGCATTTTGAGTGTCATTGTTCTTCTCCTCACTGGTACTTATACCAGCACCCTTGGTTCCCCAGTTGCATCGTATTTGCCTATTTCCCAGCCACTTACCTATAGGAGGCATTAAACATCACGACTTGATTGCAACAAGATTTAAAATGTAATAATAATAAGAAAGAGACAAGACAACAAATAGTTAATTGCCTAACCAGTCATATCGTTGATGGCATTTTGCGCATCCTGCATATCAATTGCATGGGAAACACATCAATACAATGAACAAGCACCTAACTAACAGCTCAAGGACTAACATTTGGCTTAGTTTAACGAGATTTTGTGTTCTTAACAAGAGTAGAACCCTCTGCTTGAATTGAACTAGAAACAGAATTTTTTTTTTAAACATCCTTTTAACAAGATAAGATTTAGTCATACCTAGCAACATAAACAGGCCAAAAAATTTTGACAGAGCACTTGTAAGTAGTAACAGTCGTTACAGAAAATAAATCCCTTCTTTTCAGGTAAATCAGTTCATTTTTTTCCTGCACATTTCAAATTCCATTACAACAGAACAAGCAATACCTGCTGATCACGAAAAGAAACAAAACCATATCCTTTTGACCGACCAGTTTTGAGATCCCACATAACCTTTGCATCACTGCATTTAATAAAGACGGGAAATAAAAACTAAGTACCAAAAAACCTAAATATTGGGCAAGACCAAGTAAAGCCGCAATGGTCACACTACCCAAATCAGCTGTCCTTATTCAACTAGCTACCGAAAAATGACTAGTGACAATGAAAGAATACAAAATGTAGTGACTAAAAAAACTGATAAAGAATAATAAAAAAAGAAATGAGGAACTCACGAACAACTAGGATAGACTGAGAAGCATGCAAATAAAGTTGCATCAGTAACCTCTGGACTCAAATCACCAACAAATATATTGAAGTGCCCTGATATTTTGAACAAATTAAAGGGACTATAAAAATTCAAAACAAGAAATCCCCCAAGAAACAAATTGTAAAAATACAATGAAAATTATAACAATAATAATAACAACAAAAAGGCATGCCCAAAAGTAACCTGAAGTATCCTCCCTATGGGTATTGGCATATGCCCAATTCACCTTAAGTGCCTGACCATATCTGCAAGTGGTATAAAAATATATATATATATATATATATATTAACGCCATGTCACTATGACTTCATAATACAAGAAAAAGAAAAGGAAAAAAAAAAACTCGGTTTCAAGTTTCTCAAGATTGAAAGAATGAGACATTATCCTGTAAAATCATCACAGTAATATCTATGTTTCCAAAAACCATCACAGTAATATCTATGTTTCCCAAAAAAAAAAAAAAAGAGTGAAAATCCCAATGTCTCTACCCCTTAAACAGCCACATACAATGCCTCCTCATTCAAAAATGCCCAGAAAAACTAAAATACAAATATAATTCTTACAGTTGGCGTCCATGCAATGTCATTATTGCAAGAGCTGCAGATGCTCTATCATGGTAATCCACAAAACCATACGAGGACTGAAATGATGATGTCATGATAGAAAAACAAGCAAACAAATCAGTGGAAATCAGAAGAAGAGGGCATAGATGACAAACAAAAACAAGGAACACAAAAAGGTCAAAGAAATATAAATTATATGGAAACGCTACACCAAGAGCCAGTCAAGGGAATTTTTATACTGCTCCCCACTTCAGGAATTATGACAGCAAATAGACATGTAACAAATGTAAATTCTAAAGAAATCTATGACCTTCTCAAATGCTGCATTTTCTCTCTCAAGCTCTAAGCTTTCAGCTTACACAATTCCAGGTTAGAGAGGTCCATCTTACACTGCCAAGTTTGGTAAAAATCATAATAGAAAGGTGGTCACAACTTAGGACGAGAAAAAAGGTACTATAGCCTCATTCATCACATCATGAAAAGATTCCGACAAAGAGAGAACGTGAAATCAATAATTCTCTTATATTGAAGGACAGCTTCACTAGACATTTTTTACACTTATAAGTATGCACTGTGCCACTGTTAGAACTCCTTGAAATCTACCCAAGAAATTCCAAGAAAATTTCTCCGGAAAAAACTGAGTGAACAACCTTTTGGGAACACAATAATCCTACTCTCATCAACTAGCTCCTATGATAAAAGAAATATGAGACAATTACCACAAATATGTTATCTTTTAGCTATTAAAATAAATACTAATTAAAAGAGGCTCAAAAATCACGAACAACAAATTTTAATGGTCATGTACAGGAAATATTGAGTTGCAAATTGAAACAAACCTTTTCTTTCCTTATGAGCTTGCACCCAGCCAGAGGACCAGCACTTTGAAAGACTTCAGCAAGAAGTTTTTCAGTAACATTTACATGAATATTTCCTACATAACTGAAAGCACATGCTTCAGATTAATGAAGCGCCAAGTTAATAAGATTAGACAATTTATTTTCTGGTACACCTATTATTTTAAATCATATTAAACTTTAGTAGAATCAAATTTGCCTATCATCTACAGAAAACACTTTATTAGAAATTAAATTTATGCCTTCTATGACCAGAAATCAAACTACAAAGCATAGCAATTGAAAATAAACGAGGTGAATGGAGGAAAATACTGTATAACACTCACACACTGCAGCATGTAGAGGTGTCAAAGCCCGGAGGCAAATTTCCACTTGGAATAGGCTCAATCTGCAAGATTGTCAAAACAGAAGAATTAACAAGGGAAAGAGAGAAGATCCCAGCAACTCTGAAGAGACATTAAATAGAATAAAAAAATAAAAGAAAAAAAATTTTCTTGGCACATCCTCCATTCAAGCTGCTATATTTCATTTTAATTTCCCGGTTTTAAGTTCAGGAGGTTTGCAAAGTCTTCAAAAAGGTAAGTGAATACAGTTTAGCGCCTTCCATCTGGCCCAAGATCAACTTCACTCTGCCATGGTTTGAAGAGTCTTGTTCAATTCAACATCAATGCAAGTTTGTTATATTATTCCTTAACCACGTTATGCCATTTTAAATAATAAATTTAAGAGAAATAATCACCTAAATGTTAAAATAAAAAATAAATTTGTTCTTGAAAATATATTTTACTTATACCTTGAACAACTTCATAAGCTTTTAAGGATATTACAAGAATAAAGGCAACAACAATATTGAAACTGTCAACTAAATTCTAACAATGACCTCATAACACAATGAAAATGGCAGTTAACAACGCAGCAATTATCATTTTAATATTCAATAGATTATTTTTGTTTAACTAGTACGCGTCCAGTGCATTGTAAAGCCACAATATTTAAGGTTCATGAATGAAACAACTTGTTCGAATTTATAAAAATAGATATATACATACATATATATATATATATATATATAATGTAGAATATTGCAAGACGGTTAAGTTATTGGATAAATCACAAGAATGCTGGGTGAAGCACTTTAAACAGGCAATATTGCCTCCTTTTCTTTTCTTTTGTTGTTTCCCCTAATGAAAATGTGCAATGCTATTGGCCCCCGGAGAAAACTTCCTAATGTCAAGCGAACAGATTTAATATTCGATGCATTACTTTGAAAAATAATAACATCTCAGAAAAGCAACGGTCCATTTGGAAGGTCTTTCATATAAAATCTCATGCCTTGGCAAAGATAAGATACGGACAAGCGACTCTAGAAAACCAAATAAATCAACGTTGGCTGTTGCTAAAGGCATAAAGGAGTGAACCTGGGACATAGTAGCGGCTAGCATCCCAGGGTGATACATCTGATGTTGCTGAAGCAAGCCTTGCTGCATGAGGGCTTGCTGTTGCTGAAGCTTGAACCTCTGTTGCATGTTCCTCACCTTATCCCGTTAGAGATTATTATTCACAGCCTACGAGATGATTGCGACAGATTTCAAGGGGGAAAAAGAAAAACTCAATTAGCATTAGTAATCAAGAATCAGGAATTCAACGAAGACATCATATAATACAAAGAAAAATATTCTCAATGTGTAAACATTTGGATTTACCTTCTTTTTTCGGCGATCTAACTCGTGAAAATCGTTGAGGAAGAAGTGCATAATAGATGACATTTTAAAGGGAGATTAACTTACCGTAATTGTTAGACAGTGCACGAGCCTGCAGAACGAATTGTGATTCCGCGAATTCCTTCCAAATCTGGCTCCTCTGTTCGTGCGTTAGGATTTTCCACTCTACCACTATTCTTCAGGCACAAATGAAATGAAGCTCCGTCCGGTAATTCTCAATTAGGAGATTCGGAGCAGATGGTCGGTTTGGATCAATCGGAAGACCGTTCCTTTAGTTTGGCGTCTCTTTTGAAAATTCCTGATGCACTTCACTGCGAATAATATCGAACGTAACCATCATATATTTCTATTATCTTTTTTACCCAAAAAAGAAAGTCAAAACTCTCGTTTGACCTTATTTTTAAATCTATTCACTTAAATCTATTTTTTAATCAGAACAGATTTTTTATATTCTTCACACGGACAAATTTATTAATTTAATGTAAACAAAACTCCACATGAATATTGGAAGTAGTTGGCCTAAAAAAATGAATGTTACATATTCCAAAAGTGACGTTTCGTACTTTATTTCCTGGACTTTGTTTTGTTGGTTTTCTTTGAGTGACGTTGCAGTATTAATGACCCCAAAAAAAAATGACGTTTTCGCAAACGCACACAAAATGTGGCCAATTTCTACTAAGCATTTTGATCACATTAGTGAAGGAAAAAATATTTAAATGCATATTAGGAATTAGTCGTTTAAAAAAAAAACATAGAAGTCAAATCTTCAGAGGAAAATAAAGTATAAACTCTTTTTACCCAAACTGTCCTTGGAAATGGAATATTAGGAAGATAAAAAAATTTTAAAATTTTAATTACTTGCAAATGACATTTTTAATATTAAATCCAACAACTAATATGTTATAGTAAAATAGAATATATAAATACTATAAAATTATCATCCATTTCACTCAAATTTTTTAAACAAAACGGTGACAATAAACATCAATGCCTCATGTAAAGAACTTTTAAAACTTTTTTTTTTTTGGGGTTTTATTTAAGTCTTTTATTCTTTTTTACCAGCTACTTAGCTTCATGGAAAGAGCTTTTTTCTCTTTAATTCTTTTTTCTTTTTTTAACCACAAATATCTCCTACAAACTGTTGTTAAACTCTTTCGAAATATGAAAAATAAAAGGCATATTTTTCTTAATTCAGTTTACTATACGAGAAAAAATTGAAAATCAAACCTCAAACCGAACACTTGGGCTTGACTTACCTGATTCTATTCCAATTAAATCAGTCAAATTATAACAAATAATTTACAGTTTGTTTTACTTTTAACAACGTTGATTTATCTTCCTCCGGATAATCACATAATCATGATCACGAAAAAACTTGAGGCTGCTTACAATAGGCAAGATGTTAAAAGAAAAGAGACATAGAGATGTATTTGCTAGAATCAAAAAGTTATGGAAACCAATTATTGGTTTTAAATTTTAAAAAAATATATTTGCAATTGTCAACAAGACTTTCTCATTCACGCTTTTTTCTTTTTATTAGTGAATGACCAGTCAAACCCTTCCACTGGATTGACCGCTCACAAATACCAAATATGGCAGTGCAGCGTGCGCTCTAGAGTTGATAATTCACGACACATCCGATGAATCAATCCAAACTCACTTTAAAAATGTTAGATTAAACTTGATTATATGAACATTTTTAAGATACAACTCAACCCAAATTAAACCCAATCCAAATTAAGCTTAACCAATGAAATTTATAATCCTACATGTATATAAAATTAATAATTTTGATCAGACCCGACAGACTGGCTCGAACCCTCTCCAAAAAATCAAAATCAAACTTGACTATGTGAGCTTTTTTAAAAGGATACAATATTTCAAGCTCGATTCGAATAAGTCCAACCTAAATTTAACTTGATTCAAATAAACCCAACCCGTTCAAATTACTGACTTCTCCCACTTTATTTATTTATTATTGCTCAGCCTAATCTTTAAATAAATACATTCGAAGTACGTGCAATGCAAAATATATTATTACATTTCAAATTAAAAATAAATAAATATATTTTAGATTGGCATAACAACCCCCCCCGGGGGGCCCCCCAAGTGATCCCTCCAAAAAAATATCACAAAACTGGGTTGCAAATAATGCATACTTAAAAAGCTTCGACAGCTTGCTCAACCTTCGGCTTGCTTTTCGGCCGACCAGATAATCTCACGTCGTTACTTGACAAATATTCAAGTGCTTTCTCCAGGGTGACATCATTGGGTTTCACATTCTGCGTGCCAATTTCCAAAGAAGGGAAACCGCCCACGTCAAATATCAAAACTAGCTAACACCAACAAGCAATCCTAGTAATTCTGCTTATAAAGACAGCGTTTACAGCGGCAAACACAAGCAGTGGTTCAAGGTAAGGACTAAGGGCAACATTCTATTACAAAATGATTAGGATGCTAATATATGTAATCAAAGACCCATCAAATAAGTCCGCTGAAATGCTAGTCTGTCTGTCTAGTGACAAGTAAAACTCCTCCAACCCGGGGCCGGGCCTAGTGCAGAAAGAAAAGTTCAATGATATCGAAAAACCGAAAGAAATATATGAAAATTTAATACTGGTTCGAACTTTGAAAATATAGTTGCCATTTCCATAGAATTAAATTTGCAAACAAAGCCGACTAGGAGTTAGGAGTAACTAGGAGCCTTTTTGGATTCCGTTTCGAAAATAGTTTTTTGTTTTTTAAAAAAATTAAAAATTAAAAAACTTGTTTGGAGGAGTGTTTTCAAATCTAATTATTTTCAAAACTGTTCCCATTTTTTTTTCAAAAACAAAAAATAGAAACATCATAAAATTATTTTCATTTTATTTTTCTTATTTTCAAAATACATCACATTTGATTATTAAAAATTACAGTTACTTAATTAATAATTATCATAAGTCATCACCATTAATTGCGGGTGACTATAACTATTACCTGATTTTTTAATTTTAAAATTGTTTTTAAATTAATACAACCAAATAGATTTTTTTTATTTCGTTTTGACAAACAATTTTGAAAACTGTATTGCAAAACAATTTTTAAAAACAAAAATAGAAACCAAACAAGTCCTAAGTTATCCGACTACGCCGTAGGTAACGTGACAGTTAATTGAGAAGAAGAATATGTAACGCTCCGAGAGATTGCTTCGATACGAACATGCAGTAGGTGAACACAACAGCCCTATTTGTTTCAATCATTCCTAAATGGTGCAAAGTCGCCCTGAAACTAAAAGCATACCTTTGGGATAGAAGCTGTTGTTCGTCGATGTCTGACAGCAAACCCAACCCTAGCGTGCTTCAATATCACTGGCTGTCCATCCTTTGGATGGTTACCCTAATAATAAGCCCACATTAATTAGTCGCAGGGAAATGCTAACCTTACGCTTGCAAAAAGGCTAGCCTTTGTATTGAACAAAACACAAAAAGATACCATAAGCGCAGCTGCAATCAGGTCATAACTCAAAATACTCCAAATATTTATGTGCGGTGTGCGTAAAAGAATTTTAATAGAACAATGAGTTACCAATGTCAATGGGTATCGCAGCAACTCTAACGCATCTTCCAGAGTGACAGAGTCCGCATCCTTTATCTGGAAAATACCAATTCTGTAAATTCTATCCTTCTATTGAAAGAAGCTAAAATGAATCATATTTGCGCAACCAATTACCACACATCATCATCAGAATACATACAAGGGCATCACCATGGCGGAATTTAGAAAAATTAGAATTTCATGCAACACTAAAATTGAACAGTAACGTTGTATCACTCTATTTTGAGAACAGAGTACCATACTTTGACATATATACAGTGGGAAAAGATTGTTCACACAGAAAATAATTTATGCAGATCAAATCAAAAACCCCAAAACAAAATTAAAAAAAAAGGGGGTGGGGGGACAGGAATTAAGACAAATGGACTTCCGATCTGGATTGTTCAGCAGCAGACTGCAATACTACTCCCACTACAACAGGAAACTTAACTCCAACAATTTCTGTTTAGGTACTGAATATCATTTGCTTTTTCATGTCTGCGTCAAATAAAATTATTCTTATAGTGAATTGTACGTTTGGCTTATTAGTTCGAGAAATCTTTCAACAGCTGTCATTGTGTAAATTCTACAGCCAATGTCATTGCAAATTAAATAAGGTATTAGTGTGAGGATTTAGAGTAACCAATTCAAGATGCACTGTCAAACATACATCTCTTTTCATCGCCAAAAATCCTGGGATTGACTATGGAAAGACTTTTTTCTATAGTAAACCCTACCGCATACTATAATTAGTTGGCAGTTAAAAAAGAGAGAAGTGGAAAAAAAAAATGGGAAGATTATGAATCTCTAAAGTGGACTGTTGTAAGAGAAAATGCAAATTTAAATAAATTGATAGAGCCTTCATTACGTTAACAAACTAGACTGGGAGATATAGACAACTAAAAGTTTATATTCATGTAACTACATTTTATCCTCGCAACATTCTAAGCAAACAAAGAAAAGGGTATGGTTTCACATGATTGTCACCCCCACTCTAAGACCTAATGACTCGTTTGGTAGAGCGGAATTGGTAGTGAAGTGAAAGTGAAAGTGGAACCCTGAATATAGGATGCTTGATACACTGGAACCTGTTTCTTTGAGGAAGCCACTTCCATAAAACATGATGGAAGCAAAGAGATTTTAAGCCAAATTGGAACCCTACAGTCTCAGGTTATATATTGCAACTACATCAGTGTTGTACTATCCATTAGATATGAACAAAACGTCCAAATTTTGACTTGGATCCCATTGCTTTCTAATCTCAGCAAGTCTTACAGAAAAACACTTAAATATTATGTGATAATAACGATATATAATGCGCATGGAACAATCAGGATGTCCACACTTGAGTTTGCTCAGAACATGAGAACCGCAAACAGATTAAAATGTGAAATATGAAGGGCAATGAACCAGCAAAATGACCAAAAGAGTTTATCAGATGGTATAGTCTGGAAAAAGAAAATTTGACATACATGAGAGACGGAGGCCCTTTTAGGCAAGTATCCCTTCCTATCTTCTCCAAGCTGAACATAATTTCCGTAAGGACCAGTTTTCAGAAGAACCTGAAGTAAAAATATCTTAGTTATCATAAAATCGAAGCAACCGAGCAAAACATAAAATTTGCAGCCCAGTGAAGCGTATAACTGAGGCCAGGATCTAAAGGGGACCTTTTCATTCGATCCAGGGTGAACACCAAGGACTTTTGGCTCCTCTATTTTGGTGTTATTTTGATCGATAACTT